CCAGCATGAAACAGCCTATCGCCTCTCAGTGTTGACTTCAGTGTTCACTTTATATATATATATATATATATATATATATATATATATATATATATATATATATATATATGGTAAAAAAAACGAAGCAGAACTAAGAGACTAGGTTAAAATCATTACTCAAACTGTTTTGCTGATTCTTGTTGTTTGATGATCACTCTATCAGTTCACACTGTTGGTTCCTGTCGCCTGACGATCGTTCTAATGGTTCACTATCTCAATTCTGGCCGTTTGACGATCGATCTGTCATTTAGCTCTATCAATTCTTACTGAATGATGCTATGTCAATTCGCTATGTCGATTCGTTCTGTCGGTTCTTATCATCTGATGACCATCGCTCTGTTGGTTTGTTCTATCAATCCTTGTCTTCTGTCGATCGTCTCCGTCGTTTGGCTCTGTCAGTTCTTGTTGTCTGCGGATCGCTATGTTGGTTTGTTCTATCAATCCTTGTCTTCTGTCGATCGTCTCCGTCGTTTGGCTCTGTCAGTTCTTGTTGTCTGCCGATCGCTCTGTTGGTTTGTTCTATCAATCCTTGTCTTCTGTCGATCGTCTCCGTCGTTTGGCTCTGTCAGTTCTTGTTGTCTGCGGATCGCTATGTTGGTTTGTTCTATCAATCCTTGTCTTCTGTCGATCGTCTCCGTCGTTTGGCTCTGTCAGTTCTTGTTGTCTGCCGATCGCTCTGTTGGTTTGTTCTATCAATCATTGTCTTCTGTCGATCGTCTCCGTCGTTTGGCTCTGTCAGTTCTTGTTGTCTGCCGATCGCTCTGTTGGTTTGTTCTATCAATCCTTGTCTTCTGTCGATCGTCTCCGTCGTTTGGCTCTGTCAGTTCTTGTTGTCTGCGGATCGCTATGTTGGTTTGTTCTATCAATCCTTGTCTTCTGTCGATCGTCTCCGTCGTTTGGCTCTGTCAGTTCTTGTTGTCTGCCGATCGCTATGTTGGTTTGTTCTATCAATCCTTGTCTTCTGTCGATCGTCTCCGTCGTTTGGCTCTGTCAGTTCTTGTTGTCTGCCGATCGCTCTGTTGGTTTGTTCTATCAATCCTTGTCTTCTGTCGATCGTCTCCGTCGTTTGGCTCTGTCAGTTCTTGTTGTCTGCGGATCGCTCTGTTGGTTTGTTCTATCAATCATTGTCTTCTGTCGATCGTCTCCGTCGTTTGGCTCTGTCAGTTCTTGTTGTCTGCCGATCGCTCTGTTGGTTTGTTCTATCAATCATTGTCTTCTGTCGATCGTCTCCGTCGTTTGGCTCTGTCAGTTCTTGTTGTCTGCCGACCGCTCTGTTGGTATGTTCTATCAATCCTTGTCTTCTGTCGATCGTCTCCGTCGTTTGGCTCTGTCAGTTCTTGTTGTCTGCGGATCGCTATGTTGGTTTGTTCTATCAATCCTTGTCTTCTGTCGATCGTCTCCGTCGTTTGGCTCTGTCAGTTCTTGTTGTCTGCCGATCGCTCTGTTGGTTTGTTCTATCAATCCTTGTCTTCTGTCGATCGTCTCCGTCGTTTGGCTCTGTCAGTTCTTGTTGTCTGCGGATCGCTATGTTGGTTTGTTCTATCAATCCTTGTCTTCTGTCGATCGTCTCCGTCGTTTGGCTCTGTCAGTTCTTCTTGTCTGCCGATCGCTCTGTTGGTTTGTTCTATCAATCATTGTCTTCTGTCGATCGTCTCCGTCGTTTGGCTCTGTCAGTTCTTGTTGTCTTCGGATCGCTATGTTGGTTTGTTCTATCAATCCTTGTCTTCTGTCGATCGTCTCCGTCGTTTGGCTCTGTCAGTTCTTGTTGTCTGCCAATCGCTCTGTTGGTTTGTTCTATCAATCATTGTCTTCTGTCGATCGTCTCCGTCGTTTGGCTCTGTCAGTTCTTGTTGTCTGCCGATCGCTCTGTTGGTTTGTTCTCTCAATCCTTGTCTTCTGTCGATCGTCTCCGTCGTTTGGCTCTGTCAGTTCTTGTTTGTCAATGCGGATCGTCTCTCGTTTGGCTTGTTCTTGTTGTCTCGATCGCTCTGTTGGTTTGCTCTATCAATCCTTGTCTTCTGTCGATCGTCTCCGTCGTTTGGCTCTGTCAGTTCTTGTTGTCTGCGGATCGCTCTGTTGGTTTGCTCTATCAATCCTTGTCTTCTGTCGATTGTCTCCGTCGTTTGACTCTGTCAGTTCTTGTTGTCTGCGGATCGCTCTGTTGGTTTGCTCTATCAATCCTTGTCTTCTGTCGATCGTCTCCGTCGTTTGGCTCTGTCAGTTCTTGTTGTCTGCGGATCGCTCTGTTGGTTTGCTCTATCAATCCTTGTCTTCTGTCGATCGTCTCCGTCGTTTGGCTCTGTCAGTTCTTGTTGTCTGCGGATCGCTCTGTTGGTTTGCTCTATCAATCCTTGTCTTCTGTCGATCGTCTCCGTCGTTTGGCTCTGTCAGTTCTTGTTGTCTGCCGATCGCTCTGTTGGTTTGCTCTATCAATCCTTGTCTTCTGTCGATCGTCTCCGTCGTTTGGCTCTGTCAGTTCTTGTTGTCTGCCGATCGCTCTGTTGGTTTGTTCTATCAATCCTTGTCTTCGGTCGATCGTCTCCGTCGTTTGGCTCTGTCAGTTCTTGTTGTCTGCGTATCGCTCTGTTGGTTTGTTCTATCAATCCTTGTCTTCTGTCGATCGTCTCCGTCGTTTGGCTCTGTCAGTTCTTGTTGTCTGCCGATCGCTCTGTTGGTTTGTTCTATCAATCCTTGTCTTCTGTCGATCGTCTCCGTCGTTTGGCTCTGTCAGTTCTTGTTGTCTGCCGATCGCTCTGTTGGTTTGTTCTATCAATCCTTGTCTTCTGTCGATCGTCTCCGTCGTTTGGCTCTGTCAGTTCTTGTTGTCTGCCGATCGCTCTGTTGGTTTGTTCTATCAATCCTTGTCTTCTGTCGATCGTCTCCGTCGTTTGGCTCTGTCAGTTCTTGTTGTCTGCGGATCGCTATGTTGGTTTGTTCTATCAATCCTTGTCTTCTGTCGATCGTCTCCGTCGTTTGGCTCTGTCAGTTCTTGTTGTCTGCCGATCGCTCTGTTGGTTTGTTCTATCAATCCTTGTCTTCTGTCGATCGTCTCCGTCGTTTGGCTCTGTCAGTTCTTGTTGTCTGCCGATCGCTCTGTTGGTTTGTTCTATCAATCCTTGTCTTCTGTCGATCGTCTCCGTCGTTTGGCTCTGTCAGTTCTTGTTGTCTGCCGATCGCTCTGTTGGTTTGTTCTATCAATCCTTGTCTTCTGTCGATCGTCTCCGTCGTTTGGCTCTGTCAGTTCTTGTTGTCTGCCGATCGCTCTGTTGGTTTGTTCTATCAATCCTTGTCTTCTGTCGATCGTCTCCGTCGTTTGGCTCTGTCAGTTCTTGTTGTCTGCGGATCGCTATGTTGGTTTGTTCTATCAATCCTTGTCTTCTGTCGATCGTCTCCGTCGTTTGGCTCTGTCAGTTCTTGTTGTCTGCCGATCGCTCTGTTGGTTTGTTCTATCAATCCTTGTCTTCTGTCGATCGTCTCCGTCGTTTGGCTCTGTCAGTTCTTGTTGTCTGCCGATCGCTCTGTTGGTTTTGTTCTATCAATCCTTGTCTTCTGTCGATCGTCTCCGTCGTTTGGCTCTGTCAGTTCTTGTTGTCTGCCGATCGCTCTGTTGGTTTGTTCTATCAATCCTTGTCTTCTGTCGATCGTCTCCGTCGTTTGGCTCTGTCAGTTCTTGTTGTCTGCGGATCGCTGTGTTGGTTTGCTCTATCAATCCTTGTCTTCTGTCGATCGGATTTTTCTTCTGACTCTTGCTCCATTGACAAAGGACTGATCTAATTTCTCCACTTAATAAAGTTTGGTATTTGAAGAATTTCCTCTTTAGCATAATCTTTGAAAATGATCTGAGCATTTCTTGGGTGAGATAATTTCCTTTTCTACTTACCGTTTCCACAGCAGCCGTAAGAAGTTCCACAGTTGCAGAAGTAATTTCTTTGAAAGTTAAAGATTTTTGTGTCAAAAGGAAAGTCAGAAACTTGGACTCTTTTCCATTATTTTCCTTGTTTTTCATTCGATGCTTTAAAGCGTCCATTCTCTGAAAAAAAGAAGAGACAAAACGTGAGTAATGATTGTCATCCATTTTAACTAAAGTCACTTACCATGTTATGCATTCAACGAATATAATTGAGATTCTCGTCAAAATATATGCAAACTGATGAGAACTAATTTCCTTCGACGAGATAAACAAAGATTTTACAGAAGTATAAGAAAAAACGAATGCAGAATGGTTAGGTATAAGAACGTTATCTTGTTGGTTGTTTTATTTTTTGTTCAGATGTTACAAATATTGGTACATTACATAGCAAGTTCTTCTGGGATATGAGCTCGAATATCGTCTGGAATCATTTCTTTGTTCAAAATTCTGGTAATTTTTTAGATGAGTGTGATATAACACACCGTTTCCTTTTTATTAATGCAGTCTATAAAAAGAAGCGGGAATGTTACGTACAAATTTTAATGAAGCCTAAATATAGTTTGGCAAGTGGAGCAAAAGAAAAATCAAAATATAATAAAAAATGTATGAGAAATTGAAGAGCTTATTTATTTTGAATTGAAAGTCTTCTCAGAAATCTTGTCAGTTGAACAAAGGAAAAACCTTCGTTTTCACGTTGGTTTTTACATAAAAATCATTGTAAAATTTGAGGTTGATAAAAAATGACAGTAATTGATAGACGCGTGTTGAAGACTCAGAAAAAGAATAGCAAAAATTGAAATATTTGATTTTAGTGGAATATTAAAATTATTTTTCATTAAAAGTCTGTGGAAGTCTTTTCAGTTGTTATGATGATGATGCTATGATTCGGCAGGACTGCAAATTATCCCTTTTTCCCCGATCGGCCACAACTAACTCTCGGAAATGTAACATTATTCTAATTGGTTTTATTGATGATTCAAATTTCTGACACTTTTCCAAGGAAACTTATTTCGCTAGATGCGCAAGATTAATAGCATTAAGCGTGTCTAAATTATAGTTTACGAAATAAAGATAGATAGACATGAAAAAATGAGACATACAGACAGACAGACAAACAGATAGATAGATAGACAGATAGATAGATAGATAGATAGATAGATAGATATGAACAAACTCTGAGATAGATAGATAGATAGATAGATAGATATGAACAAACTCTGAGATAGATAGATAGATAGATAGATAGATATGAACAAACTCTGAGATAGATAGATAGATAGATATGAACAAACTCTGAGATAGATAGATAGATAGATAGATAGATAGATAGATAGATATGAACAAACTCTGAGATAGATAGATAGATAGATAGATAGATAGATAGATAGATAGATGTAATACGAAAAAAACTTACATTTTTTATAAATACGCTTCCTATATTTGTTACATTATTGGCATAATTTTCGAATATGCGCCACTGTTTCGTAGGCCACAGACGATAGAGAGGCATACTGTAAAGTAGCAGTTGCATTTGTGCTGTAAAACCTTGCAAATTCTTAATAAAAGCTTCGGATAATTTCGACGTTTCTGGTCGGAGGCAACCAATTCTTTCTTCAAACAGCACTATTCCGATAGCTGGAAAATACAGTTTGATATCTCATTGACTTATATCATTTAAGCATTATCACGAGTTTCCCCCAACCGTATTTTCTTTCTTTGCTAATTTGAAACCCACTGATTGGTTTAACTTTTAATACGTTTGGTCATTTAAAAAGTGTTACTAAGAGTGTGTGTATGAAAAATTTATAAGGAAATTAAATTTACTGTTACTTTACATTTAAGAATATCCTATAGCACTTTACACTTTTAGTCCATTACAAAACTGTAGAAAAATCACGTGGTAGAGATAAACACTTACTTGTGGAGCAAGCTAAGTGAACAATAATCCAACCTTTAGAAAGAGAGCTATTTATGTTGCCATAGAGCATCTCATTGTGCTAAAGTGGGATAGTCCATTGCTTGGGCTGTGATTGGCTGCTGGTACCTGAGTGGAGGTATTTCTATATAAATACCAGCTTGATTCAGCTGTTAGTTTGCAGGGTTTGTATTAAGTTACAACCTGCTTTATTTTTGTCTGCCAGCTGGACGCTAGCTGTGACCTTTACACCGGTAAGTGCTGTTTATTATTGTTATTCTACATCTCCTTCCCCCCCATCGCGTGTGGGTAGTGGCCTTTGGGGAGGGATGAGTTCCTTTAAACCTGGCTGGTTGTGCGGAAGTAGTTTGGACAATGCCCGAGGGGTTTTTGTCCGTGTTATTGTAGACGACTGAGCAGTGTTTGACGTTATTCCAGCGTCGAATGTTTGTGGCACTGGTGTCGGGGTCTCAGGTAAGGCAGTAGGTCTTGGAACTGGAATTGTAGGTGTATCCAGTTTCCTGAGGAATCGGCGATTTCGTAAGGTAATTCTACCTGATCCATCAACTCTGATACGGCATTGGTGGTTGGGGAGGGTTTCAATGACCTGACCTGTTGTGTCCCATCGGCGGGTTGTTGGTCGTTGTAGTGCCACTATTTGTCCTTTTTGAAGGGGGTTTAAGGTGTGTGCTGTTCTGTTGTATCGCTCTATGAGACGAGCGTTCCGCCGGGACAGATTTATCTCACGATTTTGGGCTGCGGTTATCCAATTCGCATGTGGCTTATAGAGTGTGGGGTGGGATGGTATATAGTCACGTAGTCGGCGGTGGAGTAGTAGTTGAGCAGGGGATAGCCCAATGTTTTGAATGGGCGTATTCCTGTATTGGAGGATGGCTCTTGCTGCACGATTATTGTCCAACGATCCTTGGGCTCCTGTGTTGCCATTTACGATTCTCTTTGCCGTTTTGACAGCAAGCTCTGCCCGACCATTGGATTGTGGGTAACCTGCAGATGATAACCTGTGTTTTTACAGCCCAGTCTTGTTAAAAATTGCTTGAATGTAAAGGATGTGAAGGGTGGCCCACCATCAGTGCTGAGTTCCTCGGGAGCACCGTAGGCTTGAAATATGTCTCGTCAAATTGAAATAATCCTTGACGCATTAGCTTCTCCGTGGCTCAAGTGGTATAGATTTAGCCAGCCTGTTAACCTGTCAGCGCATGCTAAGTAACCATGGTTCCCAACATGGAAGATGTCCATGACGATTTGCTGAAATGGCCAATCAGGAGATGGTGTCAAGTTGATTGGCTCTTTTGGTTGACTCGGGGCAATTTTTGAGCAGAACGTACAACCTGCTCTAATGTTACGTATTGAAGCATTCATCCCGGGCCAATAAACAGATTCATTGGTACGTGCCTTCATGCCAACTTCACCTTGGTGTGCAGAATGTAGGCTATGTAAGACTTTTGCACGTTGAGAGGTGGGGATAACGATTCTTTGATCTAATAGCACTAATCCATCGTCAACACTTAGGCGGTGCCTCACTTCCCAGTATTCGCGGATTTCGGGTGCAGTGAGGCTGCGTGTCCTTTGGAATCCATTTTGTATTACCTCAATTAATTTTTTGTATTGCGGGTCGCTGCGTCCCGCCGCACGGATAACGTCTGGTGAGATGAGCTCCAGGTTGTCATTTGCACCAAATGTTGCTAATAGGGTTGTTGATTTGACCCAGTCATCCATATTGTCAGACTCTATGATGTCTGATTGAGAGAGTTCAGCAGTGAATACATTTAGGAGTGCCTGTGAGATGTTTGCTGGGTTACGAGAGACAGCATCGGGGGCTCTGTGCCATTTTCCAGGGCAGTGCTGAATGGTGAATCTGTACCTGAGTGTTTTCTCCTTTAACCTGAATAATCGGGGGTTTTGGATTTTACTAAGGTCTCTATCTCCGAATAATCCTTTTAGTGGTTCATGATCTGTAACCACTATGAGATTTGGGAAACCCATTACAAAAATGCGACATTTTTCCAATGCCCACGCAATTGCTGCTGCTTCGCCTTCAATAGGTGCATATCTGCGTTCAGCATCAATGCAGAATCTGCTACCAGCAAATATCAGGCGCCAACCTTCAGGGCAGCAAACTGGGGCTTTGTCAGTGGTGCATGAGCAATACTTCTGCAGAAGTAGGAAGCCCATTCCGTCTTTGCTCCAATCTGGGGCAAGGCAGGTTATTCGTTCTTTTGAAATGTTGCGATGCCTTTTCGGACTATGTCAACTATGACCTTCTTTGAATGCTGGAATGCATCCTCAAGGCTTTTATTCCATGTAAAGTGTGAGTCTCGTTTTACGAGATCACGAAATGGAAGCATGACTGGGCTCAGTGAGTATGCCCAAGCGACTTGGTTGACCAGCCCAAACCATGATCTGGCATGGGTGAGCGTTTTTGGTATTGGGAAGCTTAATATTGCCTCCAGCATGGATTTAGAAGGGTTACACCAGAAGATGTTATTTGGAGGCCCCAAACTGCACCGTGTCTTGGCAAAATTGGAATTTTTCTCTATTTATTACGATGCCGTTTTTTTGCACAATGGAGGAGAAAATCGAACGTGTGAAAAAAGGCTCCTTCAATGTCAGAGTCATAGAGTAGGGTGTCATCCACGATTTTTACTTTGCGGGGATGTCTTTTATTACTTCATCATACCTTCGGGTGTAGGCATCGCCAGATGCTAGGTAACCTTGTGGCATTCTCAGGTACATGAACCTTCCCCATTCTGTGATGAAGGTGGTGAGTGGCTGGGACTCTTTATCTAAGGGAACTGGAATTGTAGGTGTATCCAGTTTGTTCTGTTGGGGAAAAAAGGGTTTTTGGGGGCGCGTTGGGAGTTTTCCCTCGACTTTGCATTGTTTAGGGCTTGCGTCTGATTTTTTATGTACTTGTCGAGGGCATGTGTTGCATTGCTGTTTGGGGTAATATTGTAGTCGTTGGGTTTGGGAAGTCTTTTGACAGTATCCCTACGCCAATGCAGGCTGCTTTGCTGAAGTATAGCCGCTTGATCTTTTTGCATATGTATAGGGCTTGTTTAGTTGTTCTTCCTTGGACGATGAATTCCACGGGGAGCCAATCCTGACATACGAGTGTAAAGCCTCCCACAGCTCGGACGACTTTTTTTGATGGAATGAGGTTGTTGGTAGTGAGCCCCATATTCAGAAGGTGCTTAAGTCCTCCGAGACATATGGTGGCCCCCACTGTCAGGAAAGATCGTCATCCTAGTGCTGTGATTTCTGGGATATTCTTAACTTGTCTGGGATCCGGTTTTGGCGAGAATGGAACAACATATGCATCAATTTCCCTTACCTGGCCTGTGTCTTTAGATGTATACGTGCCTGTCGTTTGATTGAATGTAATGTGGGCGATAAGTGTGTCCATGGCGGCTTCATTAGCCTCTGAGCTTTTCCTTACTGCTTGAGCCAGTTTCTTAGCCCGGCATACCCTCGATAGGTGATTGGGCTTCCCACAATTACTACATGTTTGTCCCCATGCTGGGCATTTTAGCCGGCGGGATCCAGTTCCTGAGGTGCCGTGCTGGTGGCTACCACAACCTAAGCAAGCCTGGTGGTTTGGTTTAACATTGCAGTTGCAATAGGTGCTGGTACGGATCCCCTCGTTGGCTTGTGGCGTACCCTTCTGTCTGCGGTATGTTGATAGCCGAGCAGCGGCTGTATCTGAAGCGCCAGCCATTGAGGTTTGGTCTCGCAATGCTGATTCAAATGCCTCAGCATGACGGATATTTTGCTCAAAGGGATTTAAGTGCCCCAGCTTTGGCCAGTAGGTCAGCCTGGAAGGTGTCATTTGCTATTCCACGGATGATCTGGTCCTTGATGTATATATCAGACAGGTCATGCTCACACGAGGGGCAGGTAAAGTTACAATCAACAGCTACGGCTCTGAGGCGGACAAGGTAACTTTGTATTGGCTCATCCGCATCCTGAGACATGGAGGAAAAAGCAAGGCGATGGACAATAGGACTTGACCTCTGGGTGACCAACGTTTCTACCATATCAAGTAGCTTATCTGGATCAGTGGTAAAGAAGTTAGGGTGCGTGTTGATTATGGCGTTTTGCACAGTCTCATCAGCACAATTGTATAGGTGAATATTAGCTTGGGAGCTTGGCATATTTGTCATCTTGGTAAAGACATCCCAGTCAATTCGGAACTTCCTGAATTGTTGTGGTGTCATCTCGAGATTGAGATGGGGAGGCTTGGCTGCTAGTGCCTGAATGCGGGTTGTCTGGGTGGTGGCTTCCTTAGCCTGCTTGATGATACACAGGGCTTCTCCCATTAATGCGACTCCGAGCTCCCTAAGCATGGATCGATCCAGCATATGAAGGCTCTCGATTGTCAGTTTCTCGTCTGCAAACCTTGTTGCATGAGTTTTGGCCGAGTCAGTGGATAGGCCTGCTTCAATGAAGAAGAGTTCCCAATCTTCGGGTGTCATATATCCTGTTCGCAGCGCCATGTAGAAAAAAATCACGTGGTAGAGATAAACACTTAGTTGTGGAGCAAGCTAAGTGAACAATAATCCAACCTTTAGAAAGAGCTATTTATGTTGCCATAGAGCATCTCATTGTGCTAAAGTGGGATAGTCCATTGCTTGGGCTGTGATTGGCTGCTGGTACCTGAGTGGAAGTATTTCTATATAAATACCAGCTTGATTCAGCTGTTAGTTTGCAGGGTTTGTATTAAGTTACAACCTGCTTTATTTTTGTCTGCCAGCTGGACGCTAGCTGGGACCTTTACACCGGTAAGTGCTGTTTATTATTGTTATTCTACAACAAAACAAATCTATCTATCTATCTATCTATCTATCTATCGTTCTGAATCTGACAATCTCCCCATATCTATCTTAATTTTTTTTAAATTTTTAATGCGGAGTGGAAACTTTCAAAATGTTCTTATCTAATATAACATATTTTTTTCTTTTAAGTAAAATAAAATCAACAAATTTGTCTTGTGACTTACATTCCATGGCCCATCTGAAAAGTTCTTTGTCGAGTTCTTTGATTTCGCCATCTTCTAGTTGGTGTTGCTGCTGTAATCGATGGACAAAATCTGTGGCAACGGTGTTCATAGCCCGGGAATATTTGTGAATCTCATCAGGCACCAACAACTTCCGGTTAAAAACAGATCGGTATTTTTGCCAATCTTTTCCTTGTCTACAATTTAAAAAAGTCTGATTGTTTCAAGAATATAGAGGTATAGAATATTGATTCATTGTTACAAGTTCAATGTTAACTTCTCATAATAAAATGTAAACTAAAAACGATAACGATAAGAATAAGTGATTAAAAACACAAAATGAGTTTAAAACAAAGATATACTGAAAATAAAAAAAATCATTGTTAATTTTCTTTGCATCATTTTTCGATAGAGACATTAAACGGGATTTATTGTCTTTCTCCGCTTCTTGTTTCGTATTTTTAATGATTTGGTCAATAACACCATTATTGGGTTTTAAAAAGTTCCTTCTCAGAAGTTTTCAGGTTCTGTCATTCATATATATATATATGTATGTATGTATGTGTGTGTGTGTGTGTATGTGTATGTGTGTGTGTAAAAATTAAGGTATAAGCAGAAAATATATTAAATTAATTGTTAATCCATTTCATAATATATATATGTGTGTGTGTGTATGGAGGGGGAGTCATTTCAGACAACAAAAAAAAAATAACATCAAGGACAAACTTCAATATATCATTACAAAAAATGGTGTTAATTATTTAATGAGGTAATATTATGATATCACTACGATGATATGAAAATATATCAAAATATTGGCGTAAACACTTGACTGCTTATTTATAGGCTTTTGATACAACATCTATAAGAATATTAGGTTTTGGAACTTCTAAAAATATTAAAATCCTTGTCCATGGATTTTTCCTGCAAATCCTGTAATTCTAATCTGTGGAAATGAAAGGATTTTATTTTGACTTACGAATTAACAATGCCAATATTGTGCCCATTTTTCTTTTGGTGTTGCACCATTGGAGGCAATGGACATCGTGTGGGAGTGGGGCCATCGGCGTGGATAACTTTCCGATATTCTTCAGGATCACTTATGACAACCATCCGTTCAGTAACAATTTTTTCTTGAAATATCGGGCCGTACTGTAGCGCCCTTTTACGGTTCATCTGTACAAAAAAGAGGATCAAATGATTAATTTTAAATGAAAAATTTTCAAATGTAAATATTACAGGTGGCATATATATGGTTACTTATACACAAAATTTATTAACATAGGTATAAATAAAGATAGACAGACACACACACACACACACACACACTCTCTCTCTCTCTCTCACACACACACACAAGCATATATACTGGGTGTAAGAGCAATATTGTCCAAATCGTGTAACAGCAAAATTGTTCAATTTTTAGATTAACATTTGAACCGCTATATCTAAAAAAATGATTAAAGATATCTTACTGGAAGTTTTTTTAAAAAAAAGAAAGAAAAGAAACACGTATTTCCCCTGAAACATGTCTACCCAATACAAATAACACACACACAAACACACGCACACACGTGTGTGTGTGTGTGTGTGTGTGTGTGTGTGTGTGTGTGTGTGTGTGCGTGTGTGTGTACGTGTGCGTCTGGACATTGAGGTCAACCCACTCCAGCAACAGCTTGTTTCATGCTTAAACGCAATCTTATGGCCTGAAGATTGCGTTTAAGCATGAAACATACGCTCAATCTCTGATACCGAGGACTTTTTAACCGATATATTTTTTATCATATATATATATATATATATATATATATATATATATATATATATATATATATATATATATATATATATATATATATGTGGTGTATTTTGGGTAGAAAGAATACTTTCAAACATGTTTGCTTAAATAATATGGAAAAGTTCCTTCTTAATTTTTTTCATTGAATTTTTCACGTTTTTGAATAAGTTATTTTGTGTTATCAGTAAATTTACGAAAAACTCATATTAACTTCTATTTTATATTATTTTCCCCCAGTTATTTTTGAATGTTGCTACATTCGTTTTCAAGAATACAGTATATATAGGCATACACTTATGATTACAAACATTGGGATCACCTATCTAACAATATGTAGAACTTGATTAGGCAACAAACGCTGTCAGGCTCCTCAGGAATTTAGTGCTAGAAAATCACGAGTAGTTCGTTTAACTCTTAAAAGGCACGTTTTTATTAAATCTTGAAAGTTTCGTTTTTATTCTGCCAAGCTGACATTGAATGTTCAAATGAACATACTGCTACTCAGAAATCAATTGTTGTTTCCCACAGCGTCATCGTTTTCTCATGATGATCACGCGCAGCTACGAAGCCCTTCAGACCACGCATTTTTTTTTTCTATTTATACAAGGACTATTTCCGACTTTCGCATATCCATTGAAGGCACTTAAAGTGATGGAAATTGTTTTAACGTGGGTACTGGAATGCAGATATTCAACCTAATAATGATGTTATATATAGATTGTGTTACAAAATGTACCACAAGCTTTTTAAAATGTTAATATGGAAGAATAGTACCTTGAATATCGGGTAATAGTACACTGACTAAACTACAAGCATTATTTTTATATGTTCTCCCAAAAACACGTTCAGGAGACATTGTGTGTGAAAGATGTAACTGGAAATAAATGTTTTTTTCTTTTACAGTTGGAAACATGACTTCTCGTTATTTATTGCTTTAATTCTCGACACTAAATGTGCTCTGCTATATTGACTGAATTATATTTGATGACACAACCTTTGGTGTTGTTAACAGAAAATAAATGGAAAGAAAGAAGGATACATGTCGAAAAAATAATAAGAAATCACATCGAGAAAAAGGTGAATACTTGAAAGATATAGTTGCCCAAAGATAATTAAATATGAAAGAATGCTGAAAAAGTTCTCTTTCTGACTCACTTCTAAAAATCTAACCAAATGACCAAAGAACAGAATTTATTTTGTAATCGAAAACTTTCCAGCACTCCTTCGTAGTTAGATATCAAACGCGGTGCAAGATATACTGTAAAGCAGTAAAAGAGAATAATCGATAACGCTGAAGAAAATTCTTGCCTCAAACATTTTTCCGAATGATGGTCCATCTTTGTTTATGTAATCCAACAATGTACCGATCAAAGGCCAACCTCTGGGACCAGGCACTTCCTGAAGAGGACGAACAGACAATTTCCTGCCAACTTGAAATCGTACACAAATTCGACTCACGACTTCCATTCGACCTTTTCCTAAAATCTGACCCAGAAAGAAACAAAGGAAGGAAAACATGAGATTTTTAAGGTTTTGTAATGCATTTGAAAATTCTTAAGCATTTAGTTGTAAAATATATCAATTTTTAGAAATAAAAAAATTTGATTTTCATCTTTTTATTTGTCCTACATGACAAGAAGAGAATATAGTGTGGATTCTGAGAATTGAAATATATTTTAGAAAGCCGATTCCAGAATCATAATAGTTGATTATTGCTGATGTCGACTTTAATATGAACAGATTCTCAAATTTGTAATCGTTTTCTACAATTGTTTAAATGTGTATTATTGCATTAATCACGGATAGCTGTCTTATTTCTTTCCAAATCATCTAATAAAATTAAAAGAAAAGTTGAGTAGGTTTTCAGGGCTGGTGATCAAATATCAGGTGTTGACATCTGCTGTTGAGATCGACCCTTTCTTAAAATAAAATCAATAAATACTCAAACTTGATTTCATTAAAAAAAATGATGACATATTTTAATGTCATTGTTGGCTGTTTTTTTTATGGCTTAAAGTTGCATCATTTTCTAATGCAAAACTTAGTCTAACCAAGGACTTGTATAGCGGATCTCAAAGAAAACACAGGAAAAATATTATAGGGAAAATAGGGAACAAAAAGCAAGATTCGTATAACAAACCAGCAAGTTTGATTTGCGGAAGTAGAAATCACGAATATAAATAAAAGGAATTTTCTGAGAAGTTAGGCACAAAAAGCAAAATCTTTGCATTCAACTGAACAAATATAAAAATGATAGAATAGCACAGCAGCTTCTTTAGTGAGGTAATCAAAAAAAGGGAATTGATGACAAATATTTACTCCCGTTTCCGAAGAATGGGGATGAAGTCAGAACTTAAACATGAAACTTTACACAGAAAAACAAACAACATACCCAAAATAAAGAACTTAATACCGATATATATTTTTAGAAAATATTTTTAGATCGTAATGATTTACTGATACAAGTGCTTCTAATTAACCTATAGCTGGGGGAGACGTGATGGATTCATAACTTTCCCAAGAGTTTTTGCGGTAAGTGAATATAACGAACCGACTGAAAGTGGAACTAGGCTCTCCGATTTCCAATTCCGAGCCGTTATCCAATACACAATCCGCTCATCTACGCTTACAGCACCTGGTATTCGTAATCAGTACTGACCAGGCTCGACTTCTGTGATCGTAAGAGACCGGAGTTAGAACCTGATATACACAGAAACAAAATTAACCAATTTATTTATGGCTTTTCATCTTGGAAAACAAAAACGTAACTGAATCTGAGATCAGAAGAGAAAAACAAAGTACTATTTTATGTAAAGAGGTCAAATCAGAATACTAGAATTGCAATGGTCGCCAGCTGAATTGATCAAGAAAAAATAAGAATGACTAGCCTTGAGGATTTGTTAACTCTTTTCTCAAACGGTTTGATGATTAAACAAGACAAAGTAATAAAATACAGATTTCGACAAATAAAAGTTGCAGTAAAGTAGAAAATCGAATAAATTGTGGTTCAGAAGACGGGAAAATGAAAAACCAGAAATGGGAAGATAGTTACGCGGGTATTTCACGTGTTGAAAGCAATTACTGTTGAAGTGATACAAATATCTTTCCGAAGATTAGATTTAAAGAGAAACGTTAAATGTCTGCTAGTAGCAGCTCCAAATAGTTTCAGTATAACAACTATATTATTTATTTACAACATAGAAACAACGCGGAAAAACAGTAAATTTTGTCTATTCTGAAAGAGACGTGAAATCATCAATCATAAATGAAGCAAAACCTGCAGATAAGCTTAGATATGTTTGGGTAGGAAAAGAGAACAATTGGTAATTGTGCAAAAGACTGGAGACTGTTACCAATATATGAAGTAGAATATGCCTTTGTAAATAGAAAGTAAAATCGAATGGGATACAGAATTTCAAACATAACTACACAAAATCCAGCTCAGTAAACCATATCAAATCTTTATAAACAAGAAGAGATTACACTCGTTTCTGGATGTGGTTTGACTGAACCTCCAATCCAGTCATGAGACCAGATATAATTATGGTAAAGAAGAAGAATATAATGCTCTTTTCTGAATAGTTTTTGAATGAACAGCTAATACAAGCTAGAAAACACAAATGATTATCCTAAACAAAGAAATTTACATTGGCCAAATTCTGGATATCATTGCCATAATAGACCCAAGAGCGAATGAAAAGCTTCACAAATTATATGAACTTTAAAAAATTAGATTATGAAAATCATGTTTATATTCATAGTCTCGGCTTGCTTAGAACAGACCCAAAGGACTTTGCAACGCACTTGGCGGAATTTGGTGCCAAAATAAAAATCATTGTATTTAAATTAGAATTTTATTGAAGTATAAATTCAAAAGAATAAATAGCAATGAAATGAATGTATTGAGCGAATTTTTTTCAAAACTGGGAAAATTTATAGAATGAGCTCTAAATGTTCATAAAAAGTTCATCTTTGCTCGTTGCAATTCTTGGAATGTTGTCGAAGAATCTGGCAAAAGTTGGAAAATATTCAGACAAGAATATTAAGGAAATTAACAAAAATATTGAAGAAGTAGCTAGAGTAGCAGCAGTTGACCCTTGGCGAAAGTCACCAGATAGTTCTAGGCAAAAATTATTATTATTATTAATAATAATAATAAAGCAGAAGCCGGAGAACTATAGGTTCATAACCTGCCTATCAACTTCCCTGGGAAAAACAATTTACTCTCAGCAGAACAGAAGGAATGTAAATGTGGAAGTGACGTACCAACTAATTATCAATAAAACAATATTGAAAGAGATGAAAACAAGGAAAATAAACTTATCGATAGCATGGATTGACTACAGAAAGGTGTTCGACAGTGTATCACTCTCATGGATATAGAAAAGCCTGAAAGTATACAGAGTATGTCCCACAACGGTCAAATTCATAACGGAGACAATAAAAAACTGGAAGACCATAATAAACTTAAACCATACAATCTTCCAATGAGATTTATCGTCACCACTACTCTTCTGCCTCGCGTTAACGCCACTCAATTGCCTACTGAACAACAGATACTGATACAAGTCAAAGAATGGCAAACTGAATTACCTATTCTATATTGATGATCTTAAAACGTTTGCCAAGGATGACAACCAGCAGAAAACCCTACTCACCATTGTCAAAATCTTCAGCGAAGACATTAGGATGGCGGTAACCTAACGAAAACTACAGATTTAGACCTTGATATCAACAACAAGATTAAGGAACTAGACCAAGAAGATACATACAAATACTTAGTAATTAATGAAGGAGACGGAATACAACATTCATTTATGAAGAAAAAAACGAAAAGAATATTATAGGAGTGCGTTTGATACTAAAAAGCGAACATAATGGGGACAATAAAATGAAGCCTATTAACACCTTAGATATAGCCGTAGCGACGTACAGCTTCAAAATTATTAAATGGAAGTTGAATGACATTAAAAGATTCGACGTCAAAACCAGTAAGAACCCAAACTGCCCAAATCAGATGTTGATAGGCTGTACATACCAAGAGCTTTCGGGGGAGGGGTCTAATTCAACTAATTCAAACGCTACAACAATCGGATTGGAAACATACCTCATAAAATCCAATGACCCTCCCCTACAAATTGTAAAACACTAAATCCACTTCATCAAGAAAAAGCGAAGCGAATATCTTCTACGCCAACGAGTAATATAGAAATCAAAACAACTTGAACAAATGAAATTAGAAAAGAAAACCTCGAAGGACAAGGCGTTGCATGGCAAATACCTAAAAAGAACGAAAGAAGCAGATGTGGACCAACAGAAAACACATCAGCGCCGGGTTAAAAGCTGAAATAGAAATATTTCAGCTCAGAACCAAAGCCTCGCAACCAGATCCTATCACTGTGACATAATAAAGGATGAAACTAACCCGAAATGCAGGATTTGGGGGTATTTGATGAAAGTGTTGACCATATTATCTTAGGATGTCCGGAACCAGCAAAAAATGAATATACCCACAGACATAACAAGGTTGCGAAATAGGTGCATTGGAATATATATAAGAAGCACAAAATTGAAACCACTGAGAAATGAACACCAACCAGAAACGCTTACCCCCAAAAACGACGTAACTATCGTCTCGGACATGCCAATTCAAACTAATAGGGAAATAACAGACCTGATATTATCATGAAATAGACAAGAAATTCAGGAAGTGTATGCTTATTGGCATAGAAATAAGATATGAGAGAAACATTTCCATGACAATTATCGAGAAACTGTCCAAATATTAGGGCCTAGAGAACAAGATTAACAGGATGTGGGGAATGAAGACTGAGACTACCAACAGTAATCGGGTTTCTGGCCCTCGTTAGAAAAAAGAATGGACAATTTTACTAATAGTGTCCCAGGTAACATCAATATACAAGCTGACCAGAAGATCGCTCTACTAGGAACATCCCATATACTAAGAAAAGTGCTATCAATTAAATGAAAATTTTCCTATAGGGCCTAAGGACCATAGTTTGGACCAGGCTCTACAGGATACAAAGCAGGAAACATAACATACACAAATAATAATAATAATAATAATAATAATAATAATAATAACAATAACAATAATAATAATAATAATAATAATAATAATAATAATAATAATAAATGAGCGCTAAAATATTTTCCAATGTTTATTGAGTTTGTTATGATTATATTATATTTTTTCGCGTTTCACCGGAAATTTTTAATGCGTTTGTTTTCCCCTCCTTTCTTTAAATGAACTGGTTTTGTTGTGAATTTAATTTTCTTTACATTTGTATTGCTTGATAAAAATGGTGTTGAATATGAAAGACAATATTTGCGGTCGGACAGTAGTGAGTAAAAAGAACTCAAAAGAAGCAAAGAAAAACTTACCAGCTGATTTTCTTTGCACGTTCTCTTCTAGTCGGAGTGTCCATATGAAATTTGTTATCAATTGCTTCTGCCTCTATAAAATGACACACTATATGTTACGCCGTCGTTTTCAAGTGGATTTTGCGAGTTTTAATTGGGAAATAGAAAAAGGAAGTGGATAAGGAGCAAAAATAAGTTGAAGTTTGTGTGTGTGTATCTGTGAATATATATATATATATATATATGTGTGTGTGTGTGTGCGTGTGTTTGTGAGTGTAGGAGCGGTAAGGGAAGTGGAGAGAATAAGTTCAGAGTTGAGAAAATAATGGACGTCAAATTGTTTCGATTGATGTCATTGTTCGCTACACAAGGAAAAGTAGAAAAGGAAGAGGACCATTTAATGCACTGGATTAAATGAATTGTTATTTGACGAATATCAATATATTCACATCACTCCCTATTTTCATGTTTCCAGTCTCGTTCTCTCTGTTACACATACATAGCTACACACAGGATTCAAATACGCTTTAATTTTCCATTGTAAATACGAGAACTGATTAAGTCTCTTACTGTGTGACGTCGCTATTATCTAAGACAGAAACATGATTGAAAATGAATTCGATAGAATATAAAGTTTTGCTTGACCTTACTTAGTGTCACGGTACTGAGTAATGACGTTCATAAGTCATCATTAGTTATAAAGTACAAGGTATGTATAAAGCAGTGAACAGTGATAGAATTTGTGACATTTTACAGTTGCGCGCCAGCAAAATTCGCACAGAACAACGCATCTGGAGAAAAAGGCTTTCATTTTTTTCTCGTGACCACAATGCCAAGCTGTAATACAATAAAAAAAAAACTGATGAAACAGTGAGAAACCTTAATTGGAATCAATGTTCCCGCTCCAATTTTAATAAAAGTATATGAGTTAAAGATCAAATGTAAATCAAATGTGGATCAGAATGCGACAGGATGAAAAGATAAAGAACAAATAAAAAACATTTATCAATCCAATCTGTTTCACTTTCATTAAAGCTTAGTCAGAGATTGTGAGAAAAACAGACAAAAAGACAGAAGTTCTGATATTTTTACTTTTGTGTGGTTTGATTTTCATTGGTCAGTCATGTATCACATGTATTATAACCGTAGATAATTCTATATGGAAATACATTTGTAAAAATCTGATGCACGCAAAGAAAAAATTAGATTTTTTACAAACTTTATATATATATATATATATATATATATATATATATATATAATTATCTATGGGTATAATGCACGTGATACCTGTCTGACCGATGAAAATAAAATCAATTCGCAACTCACGAGTGGCTAAGTAGTTCATAGATTAAGGATTAGCATAAAGGGTTTATATCTTGCATAATAGCACTGAGTAAAATGTAGGTTCTGTGACTAATACATTGAAATTACAGATCACCTTATATATATATATATATATATATATATATATATATATATATATATATATATATACAGATCAAAGATGCAAACAAATTGGCCATGAATTATTATCAAAGACTGAAAAGAAACAGTTTGAACACTGATGCGTAGCAAGTGACAAAATCATATCTGCTTAGGTTTTTGAAAAAAATAAGAGCATACAAAGGTCTGGAGTCGAAAATAGAAAATATGTGGCCCTTAAAACTTAAACTGTTCCGGTTGTGGTTGGAGCTTTGGGTCTGATAAATAAAGGAACTCAAGAACAAATCAACAAAATCTCTGGTGTATCATCTTGCCAGAAAATTAAAAAAAATTAATAGATGTTCTGTATATTGATTAAAAAAAATATAACAACAAAAGATCCCATCCCCCGTTGCCCCCTCCGACATTGGTTATCACCGGCCATGAGATTATAAAACAAAAGCTGATCAAAAATATAAAAAAAATATTTTAAAAAATAGCAATTAATCAATATCGTGGGGACGTATAAATACTATTAATATTCATAATTTGATTAATTTATAACGTATATTAATACTCTATATAATACAATGTATTATTATATTTACTCATTTATTTATAGATTGAAATTGATATCTAATTTATATTTTTGGTATGAATGAGTGCCTTTGTTTATTTAATTATCAAAGTAGCAATTTAAAGAAGACGAGTTATTTTCGAATGGATAAAAAAGTTTCCATTCCTAACGTTTGTTTTTCATTGTTTTTTTTTTTTTACTTTTTGTCTTGTATAATTTATTATTTTCGATATTTAACATTCAGTCAACAACAATAAAATTAGTCTATCGTATAGTATTTACATTCGGAGTATTGTCCTCATCTTTGTCGCCATATTTATTACAACGAGGACACCTGGCACAGTGGATAAAGGCATCAGTTAGATCCAGTGACAGGACCCAAAGAGTGTGAGTTCAATAGCCAGTTAAGGCAGTGGAGAACTTTCAGAGGAAAATTAACCGGAGATAACTGATAACTGACATCCATTAGACGTGGCACGTGGAACTAGAACAGTCCACCCCAGTGAGCGAAATAAAGGGTTCAGTTCCACATTCCAACCACCTGAAGGCCGGAGTGTACAACGGCCGAAACGTTATAATAAATATGGCGACAAAGACGAGGAAAATAGTCCGAATAATGTAAATAGTGTACATAATACCTCATCTCAGAAATATAGACAGATACTAAAGGTTAGAATACATTGATTTATCATTATTTGCTTTTTTTGACTTTAAAATTCAATTAATCTTAACTTGAATCTTGTACTTAAAATTCAAGTGATGTACTTTTATGTTAAATTCTTTAGATTTTAACTCCTGGAGTCACCGTCAGAGAAGTTTTAGCGATTCAGTAATTCCCCATTGGCCTAGAAGGGACCTGGTGATGATGTTTCAATAAAATAGCCCATGAACCTGGTAAAAGGTTAATAGGAGTGGGTAGGTTCGCCTATTGCCCGGGCAGCAGTTTCTTCTATGTTTATTGAACAGGAGTAAATGTTTATCCCTTGTTTCCAGTTTAGAATATTGTTTACTGATTCCATTCTTCATGGCTTTAATGATTTTAAGAGCATTAAACTTTTGGTGATCTATCTGATCAGTGACTGTGAATTTTCAGTTTGAGTTAGCAGTTTTCTGTTTGTTGCATCCCGACTGGGAGCCTGAACTCTTTCGTAGCGATTAGAGAGGCTGCTCTGGTGCACAGTTGGATAATATAGGGCTATTTATAGTGCCATGTTGCACATGGATAAGTATCCTTGCATGTACTTCCGATGGGCATACTATGTTTTAGTCTTAGCCACCTTCGACCTTTTTTAGTCACAGAAAATGGAAATGATAATAATTTGAGCCTTTCTCTTTTTAAAAATTAATATAATTTTCTCATGACAGTAACAATTAAAAGAAATACGAGTAAATCAATAAACAAAAACACCTATTCCAATCAACCATTCTTTCTCCATATTCATGGTATTCGTGTCAATGTCTAGCGTAGAATCTTTTCTCTTCAAATGTTTTCCAGATATCATAGCACTTCATGAAATTAATTTAAACTCTTCTATCGTTACCAATGAATTCTCTATTCCAAGATATCATACTCTTTGTTGAAAAGATTCTAGGATATATATGCATAGAATTGTTTTTTATACCCGGGAAAACCTTCCAGTTGTAAGGGAATCGACTTTTGAGTCCCGAAGGATTATTTCATGTACTTTCGAATTTCTTTATTACATTCTATTAACTATCTCGTTTTCTTTATTCCTCCCCTTCTTCACAAGACTGACAGTATAAAATGACACACATTCCACATTTATTTGCTAACATGTTTTATTTGGTGTTTTAATGCTCATCACATCAAGTTGTTTAAGCATTCTAATGTTACTGATGTTTTCGGTATTCAAACTTTCAATTTTTCCATTGGTCAGTTTCTCAGTTAATAATAGATTTTCCTACTTATTTCCCTAATAATTCTGATCAACATGCTTCTTTACTTGATTTTTCCATACATCCAATTCTAGCTCTTGTCAGGCATCACAACTCTGTTCTTTCGACAATTACGCTGAAGTGTCGGTTAGTATGTCTTTTGAGTCATCTACTAGACATTACTATCCTATTCACAAAATTATATTACCATCATTCTTATTGCGATTCTTTTCGTGATTTTCTTCGCGATGCTTCCTGAAATGACATCTTGCAATTACCAAGTAAATTCACCTGCCTTTTCAGCCACTATAGCCCACAGAAATCACTTTTTTCCGGTTGTATCAATGTGATAGTTCTAATCACAACAAAAGCCTTTTTGTTTCCGCTCGTAATAATTATAAACGTGTCTTTGATCGTTGACAGAATAAGTTTGGTTCTCATGAATGTTGGTGGCCCTGTAATAGTTTTAATAAGGATAAATCCTCTACCCCTTCACTCTTCACTTAATTTGAGGTGTTATCATTTTCTGCTGATAAAACAGAATGCTTTACTCGAGGATTTTTTAATTCTACTTTTGACCCATCTGGAGTATCTTTGCCTGACTTTTCACTTCGAACTGCGTATCTGCTGTGTGATATCCATATAACTCCATCCATAGTTTCTGCTATTAACTGTAAACTGGCACCCCATAAAGCATGCGGTCTTGACGGTGTCCCTGCAAATATTTCTAAAGAAATGTTTCACAACGAAACAGTTCTCTATGTTATCTCTTATTTGTCGATGCTGCTATTCTTATTGCAACATCTTTTCGTGAGTCTCAAGCGCTTATGGGTAGATTTTCAATTACATGTCACTCCTTCAATCTGTACGTGGTTTCGGCAACTCCCTTCAGAACAAACTCTACTCTGTGTTAATTACTGTTGATGATAAAGAACATGAATATTCAAAATCATTTAAGTACCTCAGAAGCAAAATTCACACTTTAGTCTCTCCTGAAAATGTGATCATATTTCTTTGGAAAGTTTGAACAACGGTTGTAAAAAGTTCAGAGCAGTCACAACACTCCTCTGTGGCTCTGACTTCTAAACCCCCTGCCGAAAACATTTTTGCTAATTTGATGTCTTTCGTAAGAGGTGCGTTCGTACAATCTGTATCTATAATCTGGAAGAAATATATCCAGTAGTAAACTGTTTTCAAAGTGTGTCTTTGGAGGTATAGAGACATCCCTAATGCCACATCAACTTCACTGAGCTGGTCAAGTTGTACGCACGCTTGATGGAATGATATGAAAGATAAAGCCAACTCTATGATGATTCGCGTAAATTCGGATGAATTGAGTTGAGGTACAAAATATGAATTCTGTTGATATTCCTCTATCATCCTTGGAGGAAGTGGCTTCTGATCGGGTGAAATGGGGTGTGTGCATAAAAGGCTTTAAAGATATTGAGGTCATGCATGTAACATTTATATATTATTAGGCAGAATCTGAACAAAACTCTAACATTCATCCAGGCTTCACAAAGCCATAAAACACACACACACACACACACACACACACACACACACACACACACACACACACACACATATATATATATATATATATATATATATATATATATATATATATACTAAAGCAAATATGACTAGCACAACAAACGAAAAAAATGCAATCTGTATGTGTGTATGGGAGAGGGAGAAGACATAACTATCTGACTGATTCAAATGATACCGATATAGACTTGAAACTGGCTACAATGTGTGATTGCGACAGGAAACGACAACCTGCAAGGTTTACGTATCGATAAGGCACGCTGGTGCCGGCAACGCAATTCCCCTATTGGAGAATGTAAGTCGAATGATGGTATTATGAATCCTGATTACACCCACAGTATTTAGGGTCCCATTGCTGAGCGTCAGCATACTGGAGAAATTTTAAGCAAGCCAAGAATCCAATGGCCTAAAGGCAATAAGAGAGCTACTTGGCTGAATGTTGATCAGGAACACTCATTAATTCTTACCAATCATCTAAAGGGCTTTATTAGCCAGGAGATCAAATCTTTCTGCAGATTTATGCACAAGGTTTGCCTTGAGTAGTTTGATGTGGCAACTGCAAGAAGGGAAAGAAGAAGTAATCAAGTAGACGACAGAAGAGTAAATTAAGATCAGAGCAAAGATTTTTAAAGCGCCGACTCAAAGAAGCTCCAATTCATGAGAGAACGGGACTTAAGGACCTGTTTAAGGATATTAAAGAGAGGATATTAGTAATCTCGAGAGAGGAGAACCAAAGAAAACGTAGGAAGAAAAAGCAACAGTCTCGATGATTTTACAATAATCATTAAGATTTCGTACTGTTTTTGTAACCCCAGTTTAGCTTGAAGCTAGTTTTCATTTAATTTTGGTTAATCTTTTATTTTACTGTAACTGTTTTTGGTTTTATACGTGTTTCCCTTCTCCTTTTGTTTTAATTTTTATTGTTGTTTTTTCGCTTGCCCATTAAACCAATTCCTGAGATTTTGGGACGATCTTTTTAATTGATTTTGTGTAGCTACGACCGTCAAGGTGGAACAAACTGCACCTCCTAAAAAACGGTATGAACTGAAGATAGGCCTAAAAAAGATGCCAATTATTATGCACAACTTCAAGATAAGTATGAAGAATACGTAAGAGAGAATGAGTTTCTAGATATTCCAGAAGCCCTGTTGACCCACGATGTAAAAACTCGGAAATTGATTGGGGTCAGCAAGGAAACAATGTAGGAGGCGCTAAAGAGCCAAAGATACTTATCAGAAGATTAAACGCTGTGTAGAACATCTTACTGGATACTGAGCAAGTCACCAAGAATTTTAATGGTAAAATCAGTTGGTTTACAGACTGAATACAGAGGCACCAGAAAGACAAGACTAACCGTCTATGGGGTTTCCATGGATAGGGGCCTTTTTTGCCCGATATAGACAAGATGGGAACGTCTCAGCAATTATAAATAAAGCGAGCATTGCTACCGGGAACTTTGTTCTCCAGGTAACAATGACCCGGAAGAGCTTCGCAGAAATATCCAAAATTTTGATGTGCTGGAAAAAAAGCATGCCTGTGGTGGTGGGAGGACGTCGGCCCTACTGCTGGTCATGTGGTACCTCGGGGCAGATGTCGAAAGCGTGCCTCGGTGGGAAAGAAGTGGTGGGGAGAGGACGGAAGACGTCAAGTCCTCTTCACAGCCAGAGCAGGAGAAACTGCATCAACCACAGGATCAGATGGAAAAGCAACAAAAAGAGCTGCAAAAACAGTAGGGGCTGTTACAACAAGAACAAAAACAACAAAAACAACAACAACAACAAAAGCAGCAACAGGAAAGGCAACAACAACAACAACAGATTCAGCAACTGCAACAAAAGCAGCAACAGAAAGAAAATCAACGACAACAACAACAGCAAAAACAACAGTAAAAGCAGCAATGTGCGGGCTCTAATGTGGAGGCAGAGGTAATGCGTCCACCTCGTTCCTCCTCCTTGAAGAGGGGGAGTGAAGAAGACTAGTAGAAAAAAAACTACCAAGAAGAAGAAGCGGAGTTGACGAAGTAGGATTCTGTCCGCATTCGTCTCCACCCATCCAAACTCGTCCAAAGAAAAAAGAAAGAGACATTTCCCCAGAAGGAAAAAAGTTTCTCAGATACAGACGGGAAATAGAAAGGGACCTTTCCACTCAGATAAAGGCCCTCTTGGGTTCGTTATTTAAAGTAGTCGCTGTTGACAGGAAGTCGGTGGGGGAGCCCCGTAATTTTCCTAAGACTCCAGGTGTAATGACATGGATAAGCAATACAGGGAAAGATTTAAAAGTATGAAATCACCTTTACGAAGCAAAAGACGCCTTCCTCGAAATTCGAATGGCCCAGGTAGGAACCCCAGAATTGAAAAAATATCTAAATTCTGTGCAGAGAGGGTCCAGGTAATTCCCCATGCCTCCTTATAAAGGGTTCTTAAGCTAACATATCCCACAGACGTCAGCGGCATCATCATAGAGATGAGCATAGAAATTCTAAGATTATCCTTGGTGGATAAGCCTCCTGTATCGTTCTCCCTTAGTTGGACAGATGGACCTGTCCACATTCTTGGAGAGTAGTTTGGGCTCGCGCTCCAGTTGTAGAAGAGCTGGTCAGAGGTACAGGTAAAGGTCAGAGCGTCGGTCCGGAAAGCGGTTGTACTTGAAGGTAGACCTGAGGCGTGTATCACTTACATCTTTTCTCTCACCCTTTATCGGTTGTCTGTACTTCTTCTCTATAAGCAGCATTAGAAGTCCTTTCTCTCCTCCCTTTTGTGGGGTAGTCGCAAGCATTATGTCAACAGATATTTATGCTCAACGTCCATGTCATAGGGTATTGTGAATGCCACAAATGGTGAATCATCGACACGCATCGAGGTTGACTTTCCTACGCCACATGTTGACTGATGATTCGATTTTGGAGAGGAGTGTTATGAACGTCTTCCTTCACCTTACCATCCCTCCTTACATTTCTAGGGCTGAGCGCCGTCGTAAGTCCCGGAAAAAGTCGAATTTCCTTCAAAAGTGTCCAGTGGCCTTTCACGGCTTAATAGACTTGTATTGTGAATTAGTGGAGGGGGCCGAGATGGACCCTCTCTGTGGGCGGTTCGGCTTGTAGGCGGTCGAGTTGCGCTCTTTTTGGTCTTGGATGCCAGCAGCAGATTACCTCAGTTTACTCAGAGTTTTCGCTTACCTGGTGAATGGTTCGGAATGGGCTACCTCTCAATGACGTAGCCTTCAGATGGGATTTGGCGGATTTGCCTGACTGTTATCAGTATGACCTTGGCTTAGAGGAAACGGCTTCGCAAGCCTTCTACCATTGTCCTCGGGTGTGTCCCTTCTGTGACTACGTCGGCAAGTTGACGGCTCGTATCGCTCCAGGAAAAATCGTGCTCATTGATCTTGATGTCGCCTTCGTATTCTGGTGTGAAACGGATAATGTTTCTAACGCAGCTAGCCGTGGTAAGAATGGAGATTTGGACGACGCGAATGCATGGAATCTTGCGATATGAACACTTTTCTCATCAGGATCTGATCATATTCTTTGAGCATCAGCTCAAGATGAAGATCAGAACTTATAGAAATTTTGTCGACAGATTTCAGCGAAAGGTAGATGGGGTAAACTTGATTTTTTGCAAGTCCCCTGAGTCACAAAATGGCGGTTTCCTATGGAACTCTCCCATGGTTATGATAGACTCTATCTTTTCACCTACTTAAGTTTTGTTCCCAACCTGTTCCCGGATTCTTCTTTTGCTATGATCCAATTCGAGATTCCTAACCTCCCCAGTTTGTTTTTGGCCTCCTTTTACACCTTAACTGTGTCATTTATTTTTATTTTATCCTTCTTCTCCGTTAGTGAGTGATCATCTTGTTTCTGTTAGAAGACAGAATTCAGCGTTCACTCTTAATGTTGTTGGGTGGACGGCTCCTACTAACATCTGTTATTTTTTAGCTTGTGTGTTTTGTATTTCGTATATATTTGTAGATAAGGAAATTTTTTATCCTGGGATGTTTTGTAGGTTCCCTGTGTGTGTGGGAGGGAGGATATTCTGGTATATGTAGGAGTGAATGGTGATGGATGGATTCTTGTGATGAGTGAGTAAACTGTAATGCATGGGTGGGTTGTGAATCTGATTAGCTAGATATAGAATAGTTTTGACCAGCCTCAACCAACATCCTCTTTTTTAGCCTAGTGTCACAATTACTGTATTTTTGCAATAATAAATAACGAGTTATCTTCTCTTGACGAGACTACATCTGTCAGAGAGAATACATATCATAACAATATGGCGTCGCTGATCGCTTATTTCTACGATGGAAGATCATGAATATATTTAAACCTGGCTTAGGTGTTTCGCAGTGTCGGTGAGAGTAAAACATTTAAAGGACACCAAAGCTATTGGAAGAGAAAATGAAGTTGCGGTTTTGTTTAGGGTCTCAGCGGGGTGTGAGGCTATAAAAAACCTCTACCATTATCTATTCCAAAGTTTTGGTAGATTTAGTGTTTGAAGAAATTGCTGCCATCATAAAAGTAAATGTGCGACCAAAAAAGATTGTTCATAGCTGAAAGAACTAAATTGCTTGAAAGTATACAGAGACCAGACGAAACTATTATGCAGTATGTACAGCGATTGAAAGAAGCGTCGAGATATTGTGAGTTTGAAAGAATGGGTACAGAACAAATGTCTATCGAAGACGAGGAATTTTGGAGAAAGAATGGGGAGACCAAAGTTAAAGAAAAGTAATCTCCAGTTGAAACAGTTCGATGGGTCAATCATCAAAATTTTAGGATGATTTGAAAGCACGTTTGAGATAATAAAAAAAAGATTCGAAATAATACCCATTATAGTGGTGGAAAGCATCAAAAGCCACGATATTTTATGAATTGACGTGTTAAGAGTGAATAAATTGGAACTGGTAAATTCCATGAAATCTGTAGAACCGAATATTGGATTAAGGGGATACGAGGCGCGTATTCGGCTTAAAGAAAACAGTCAGTCTTTATATTTTCAAGCCCGAAAAGTTCTTGTTCACATGCTACACTTGGTGGAACAAGGAATATTAGGAAAAGTCAGCCAGAGTGAGAACAATTTGGCTTTACCCATTGTAGCGATACGCAAGCCCAATGGAGATTTAAGAATCCGTGGCGATTATAAGGTGGGCATAAATCATCAGATATGTTTGGATTCATTCTCATTGCCAGACACTGAAACAGCGTACCATGATTGTGCTGGTATGAAATACTTTGCTAAAGTAGACCCTAAGTCAGTAGACAATCAGATAAAAATCTATAGCAAGTTTCAAGAATTTATCACAATTGGACTACTAAGATGGACTCGTCTGCTATTTGGAGTAAAAACGTCAAGTCACATTTTCCAAAAAGCCATTGAAAAGATTTTAGAGGAGGTTAAAATATAGTTGTATATCAGAACGACGTTTGCATTGGCGTGCGCAGTTAAGAAGAGCTCAAAAGTAAAACTGAGCATGTTTTGAGAAAATTTAAATAGTGCGGGTATGGCCATTAATTGAGAAAATGCGAGTTTAATTGTGAAAAAATCTCGTACCTAGGACATCAAATATCCAAAGACGTTATATCGCAGGATGATTAACTTATTAACAAAATATCAGAGAAAGCTGCACCCAGAAATAAAAAGGAGTTAGAATCTTTTTTAGGATTAAACAATTTTTATAACTGAAATCTAGCGCCATATAGTGACACTGTGGAACATTTAACGAAATAAGGAAGAAGAATACCAAGTTTCAATGGACAAAAATAGAGGTGGTTGCTTTCTAGAAAAAAAACAAAACTCATAAATAAACCAGTTCTAAAAATCTTCGCCCCAGCGAAAGAATTGACGTTAAATTCTGATGCCAGCTACTGTGCTATATCTGAAATATTGTCACAGGAGAATCACTCTGTAATTGCTCTATGGTGAAGAGGCCTTATAAAGAGTCAAGACACAATTTAATAATAGAAAAAGGAATTATATATAATGAAGATATTGTACCGCCACAGTCTCTAAGAAAAGAATTAAAGCCGTGCACAATGATATACATGGAAGTGTATTGGTTCCGTAAATGAGATTAAAATTGCAAACGTGGTGGCCAGTCTATTCGAGAGGTGTGGAAGAGTATGTTAAAAAACGCCCAAAGTGTGCAAAAATAAAGAAATTTAGGCAAAATAAATTCACTCTTGTTCAAATGAAATGGAACCGTGGACACGAGTAAATATGGACCACGCCTACATTAAAGGTATACGACTATTTCTGATATAATCGACTCTTATTCAGGTTGGCCTGAAGTTATTAAAGTCGCAGATAAAAAAGCCACTCCTATGAAGTTGCGTTCAAATTCAGGCATTATATGGAGAAATCAATGCCTCAACTTTCTTAACATGATCTATTTCTTTCGGGTGTGACAAATATTTTTATTTTACTTGGATTTTTAAGTGCTCTGACTTTCTTTCTTTCTTTTCCTTTCTTTCTTTCTTTCTTTCAAGTAACCTGTTTATTCTCAGTTTCACTTCAATTCGTTTCGGACGGCGCATACCAAGTCTCACTTGATCACGGTAGGGTTTTGTTTTTCTTTTTCCTTTCTGTCATTATTATCTAAATTTTTTGTAAATATTTACACGAAAAATCTATTTGAATAATTTTTTCATGGACAGATCATTAAATTTGCTTAGTAAAAGTTGATTTTTTTCTGCTCTTTGTGACAATTATGATTTTTTAAAAGCTTCTTTTCGTGACGTCATCATTTTAAACATGCATTTTAAATATTTGTTCTGAATTTTCCTACCAAATAAAAATTGATGGCGCTGTGTCTTCCATATAAAACCAATGTAGTTTCAATATATATTTTATCGGTGTATTTCGATGCAGTAGGTAAATATAAAGATTTAACAGCAAGAGAAAGTTATGTCAGACTATGAAAGAAAAGAATATAACGAGTTGATGATTAGTTATTGTCACAATCAATATATTAAGTAAACTTTCAATAATTGTGGAAAAATTTAAGATTGCAATTTATTTATATTTTCCAACAATGTTTTCTGTGTAAAGGTTTGGGCTAATTTATAAATGTTTCCTTCCTATATAACAAGAATTACTCGTAGGAATATTCACGTGTCTGGATAAGTTTACATATTTTAGTAAATATCAGTTTCCTGAAGAAAAGTAATTATTAACGTGTATTTCACAGTTTCTCTTGATTATTTCGTTTGATTCTTGAGCACAGGAAAAAATTGTTGTTTTTTTTTGTTACAAGGACAAATACAGATCTTAATTAAACCAGATATCAAGAATTTCATGAAAAGAAGTGAAGTTCACTTATTAAATAGCACACACACCTTCACACACATATTTTTACGAAGTTTGGCGAGGTTGAAACCAGAAATCAAAATCTATTAAAATCGCACACAAAAGTTGATTTATTTTTGTCAGTTTTATACCATTTGAAAGAAAGTATATTGGCTAAAATTTTAAAGTATAAAATGTTTTCGCTTATTATAACGAAAATGGAGATATTTATGTTTGAGATTTTTACTTTGAAAAACCATTTAACATGCAAATTCGATGTCAAAAAGAAGCTGATTTAAAATAAATCTATAGAAATTAAATTAATTACTAAATTTTAATAAAACATCCTGAACTTCTCTAGTGAAAACTGATATTTACAATTATATCCAATGAATAGTAATGGAATAGAAAAAGTTATATTCAGCTATCGTAAATGTCCGTGGTAATATCTTATGGGTGTGTTTATAGAAACACGCTTTGTACCTTGCAGACTTTTTATAGCTTATCAACACTTTATGGGTTATTTATAACCGAAACATATTTTGAATTGTAGGAATATTTTTTTAATGAATATTGCATTAACAAAGTTTTGAGAAATAACAATGATTTTTCCAGATACAAAACCTACTATTCATCTAGTGAAACTATCGACCCTACTTTTTCTAATTTCTACATGACTCACATTGTAATAAAACTCTTTAACGGTTTTACATACAAATATATATTCCATACATCAATGACATTCGTACTAATGACAAAATAGATAAAATAAGGGCAAAAACATTGAAGTAATCTTCGAAAACAACTCTGTCTTCGAGAATAACTACTTATGAACTTAACGTTAATAATAGAATCCTTTTTCTTGACATTTTAATACACCCTAGTTTTACTACGTTACTCTGTATAAAAAAATCAAAAGCCTAAAACAAAAAAAAAGATCATCAACAATAACTTCCGCAGCCATGTGGTGAACGAGCAAATAAAATTAGACGTAACAGAATTTAGAGAAAATAACAAAAGCGATCATCCTCATATAAACAAAAATAAACCTAACATTAATTTAATCTATCATTCACAAAAACACCATAACTAGTTTACAGATGAAAATATTTATGAATAAAAATGACAATAGGAAACCTGGTAATTGTCATTTTTATTCATAAATATTGTCTTCTCTACCGATTAAATCGGAGAAATTTTCAGATGAAAATATCATTCAAATATAATTCGCCGGTTCTGCAACTTAACGATTCAAACAAACACCTTGGATTTTCTGTAAGAAGTTCAAAAACATCTCATTTAATTATTAAATCAAAAATCTCAACTATGTAAAACAATCTTGTTTATGACATATCTTTTGGAGAATTGCACTTCTAATATCAATAAACAAAATACATTAAATCCTTACCTTAGCCATACATACCCCCATGCCCACACATACCCGACACATACCCCCTTTGATTTGTCACCTGCCGAAAAAGTGCAACTAATTTAATGATGATAGTTTTGTCAGTATAGATATGAATATATATTCACGTGAATGTACGTGTGTGTGTATTCGGGCGAATTGATATTATATGTGTGTGTTTATGTCTGTGTTTAAAAAGAATAAAATGAACGAAGCTTGAAACTAGTATAACTTTAGTTCATTGTATGTAATAACAAACTTAAGTAAATCATTTGTAGTAAGTTCTCTTCATGTTGAATCACTGAGCCATATTATGACACATAGTTATTTTTAAAAAATCATTTGACCCAAATCAAGGCAATAAAGGCACTAAGATACAAAGGGTTACTGAGAAAAACGTCTTTGTGATTAATATTAACTTCTGAATTAATTAACAAGGGCGAATATTATGATCAAAAGGAAATATTTGTTAAAAATTCCTGCCAAGAAATTGATTATATATATATATATATATATATATATATATATATATATATATAGAGAGAGAGAGAGAGAGAGATACTATGACACAAATCGAATTCAGTGAAACCCGGAAATCTCTATCTATAAAAGACAGGATGTGTGTGTGCGTGTATGTGTGTATCTCTGTGTGTGTGTGTGTGTGTGTGTGTGTGTGTGTGTGTGTGTGTGTGTGTGTGTGTAAGGAATGCACGGCCGCAATTTTCGACGGATTTGCACCAAAATTTACATGCACATGCTCCAAGTTAGTGGGAAGGCCAAGACTGGCCTTGCATTTCCCGACTCCCATCGATAGTGGAAATAATCGATTTTTTCATGCTTCTACGGCACTTTTCATGTAGTTTGAGGCCATTTTCTCCTGGCCAGAGTGAGAGCCTATAGCTGGCTGCCACGAGTAGGCAGGAAGATTCTATTGGCCAGTGTGAGAGCCAACAGCTGACTGACACGAATGTTAACTAGCATGCTAGCATGCAAAAAAAAAATCGATAGCTGCATTCGTCACAAGTGGGAAAAATTTAAATCTGCCTTGCACTTTACTCCAATTGGCTCATTCGCTTGCTTAAACTCAATGTTGATTCTGATTCCGCAGAACTGGGTTGGGTGTGAATACGTATTTGTTGTTAACATTCTTTCTTTCATTCGGTTTTTCCAGTTACGAGTCCTTTTTTAAAGTCGTTTTGTGCTCATTTTGTTTAGTTCTTTTTTCGTAACAGACTTAATGTATAGAGCTTAGAAAAAATTCGCAGTGTGAGATAGGCAAGAAGTAAGGCATGTAGCAACATCAGCACGGCAAAGGGCACTCCTTTAAAGGCAAGGAAGGGCAAAAATATTTTAAGTCAAGTGATAGCGATTGCTGTATGAGTCGCACGATTTTTGAATCAAGCACGGGCACCGTCGGGCCATGCTGCTAGTATACATATAAATTTGGACTAAATAAATGGTTATTTATATTATTTATATCTTTATTTTTGTTATCATTATCACAGTATTTCGATCGTTGCTTCCTCCTTCTTTTTTCAGGTGTCTTTTGATACGAGTTACCTTCATATAATTTCAAACTGAAACTTATTTAATCTACAGGGGTAGATTGTTATCTTTCCGTTGCCCAGGTTTAAGGATATCTCTTTGTTTTTTCTTTTCTTTTAGCGTTTCCATTGAATCTGCATTACTAAACTCTCTCAGCTATCTCTTTTTCTTTATCGCTCCCCCTCTTCCCAGTACTGAAGGCATAATAGCTACCAGTATAAAAAAGTTACTTTCTCTCCATCAATCTGCGAACAACTTTGCCTTCAGTGACTTTATTGCTCACCACGACACGTTGCTTAAAAATTTTAAAGGTACTGATGTTGCCGGTGTTCAGACATCATTTTTTTCACTTCTCAATCCCTTACTCAACTCGTGGGTTTCGCTAATCATTTCTCTATCAAAACCGATCAATAGGTTTGTCTACTTGGTTTATTTCTTGCCTAATCTCCTCGCTTTTGATGAGCTTCGCATCAATGCCCTCTTGGTAATTCTGACTACTGTGTGGTAGCTATTGATATTTCGTTCCAATAATCTATTAAGCAGGAATACCCTATGAACAAGACCATTATGCTAATTGGGACTTATTCCGTGATTTTCTTCGCGATGCCCCTTGAAGTGACACCTTTAACCTCCCAATTGAAAATTGCATCACTAAGGTTTCTTCTTGAGCCAAAACCGGCATGTACGCTTTCAACCCTTTTCGGAAATATCAGGTGAAGCCTCAATCCTTTCCATGGCCCACAACAGCATGTTCGACCTCTATAGCACACAGAAACAATTATTTTCGGTTATACCAGCTGGACAGCTCTTGTCACAACAGACGTCTATACTTTTCTGCTTGCAGTAAATGTAAGCGAGTCTTCGAAGGAACAAAGTCCCTGTTTACTAAGAGAATTGAGGCACTGCATAGCTTCTAACAACCTTGGCTCTCGTGTTTACTGGCGGCTCTGTAATATGGCATTAACTAAGTGTAAGATCTCTATTCCTCCTCTCTTCGATCAATTTGAGGTGTTATATTCTTCTGTTGATAAATCTGAATGCTTTGCCCGTAAATTCTCCTCAAGCTCTACTCAGAACCGAGCCTTTGTTGAGTATATCTTCATACAATTCCTTCCATGTTTTCTGCTAGCATCTCTAACTTAAATCCTCACAAAGCATGTGGACCCGATAGTGTCCCTCTAATAGTCATTAAGAGGTGTTGTCCCGAGCTGGCTTTTGTTCTCTTTAAACCGTATAATAAATGCCTCGCTGCCTCCTGCTTTTACTCCTGCTTTTACTCCTGCCTCGATATAAGGCTGATGAGTCCGACAAAGTCAAAGTGGTAGCCTATGTCCAAAACAAACCTCAAGTCCGTCTTTAACTGGGACAAAAGATGTCTTGTTAATTTTAACGCTCCCAGTACTAAACTTCTCTTCATTAATCATCTGAGAGACCACTTGCCACCTTCCATCAGCATGGCTGATGCTAACCTCCACGAAAGTGACTCGTTGCGCCTTCTTGGGCTAACCTTCTCAACTGACATGAAATGGAAAGACTATATTGAACCCATTGCTAAGTCATCTGCTAAGAAAGTCGCTTCTCTGTGTTGGGCGAAACAATTTTTCTCTCCAGAATCTATCTTACACGTCCATACTTAGAATATTGCTGCCACATATAGTCCAATACCCCGTCTATTTACCCTGAGCTCCTTCATAAAATCCAATGAAGAATCAGCAATATTATTGCTCTTGATCTGGCGGCTCAGCTTCAGTCAATTTCCCACAGCCATAAGGATGCCTATCTATGTATTTTCTATAAATACTTTCGTGGTAATTGTTCGGATGAGCTCTTCACTATGGTACTTAGAGTTCTTGAATTTAAGCGCAGTACTAGACAGCCGTTGAGATCTTATCAATTTACAGTCAAGCAGGCTAGATGGAGCCGTAAATTCTATGCCAACTATTTCTTTTCTCCCATTTCTCGCTTGTGGAACTCTCTTCCGGTTCCATGCTTTTCAGTCGACTTTAATCTGCAAAAGTTTAAATGTAATGTCAATCACTATCTGCTGTTCTCCTGATCACTTTTTTCTTTTTCTTCTCATCATTATTAATGTTTCTATTCTTAATTCTTTCACGCAATGTAACCCCTTGTATTTTAGTGGTTTTACTGCCTTGCATGGGGTGATACCGATTAGAAAAAGTACCTGGCTCAGAATTCACAATTAATATGCAATCGAATTCAGGAAGCAATGGTTTACTACACTCGGCTACTATACCATTGGACAATCCTGAATCTAGAACTGAAAGAAATTTAATATTCTAATTATTTGTCTGCTACGGCTGCCTTTCTACGAAGCTCGACTGCCTTTGTCCTACGCGTCTCTTTCTTATTGCTGCTGCTGATTAAGAATTTTCTGTTAAGTTTAGTTCTCGATGTCTTCATCTTTTTTTTTCTTTATTACCTGGATCGAAAGACATTGGAAGAAGCGTTTTGATAATTGCAACAAAGATGAGGAAATTAGTCCGCCTGAAAATAATAATTACTCTTCATCGTGAAAATTCACACAAATTAATTACAAGTTTTTTTTTTCGCATTGTACTGATGCCACCATTTTTATGGGTTTTTTTTATATCATTTCTTTCAATATTTGCTGATGTAAAAAAAGAGCTGCTGAGAATTTCTCGGCCTGACCTACATCACAAAATCTGAAAAAGATGATCAAATATCAGAATGTTATTAAATACACCGTTGGATGGGCCGGAACCATTGTATGTTCCACTTCTAGGATGATGAGGGTAGCTATTCCGATTATATAAGTATTCATTATTGGGTAAGAATCATATTGGACAATAAATAAATAAAAAATAAAAAAAAACACCAACGTCCTTTATCAAGTGTTCAAAGAAATAAGACTTGAGATAAACCTTTTCAAAACAGAAACGAGGAGAGAGAATTGGAATGAAAGCAGTGATTGCACCTGCACTGAATCCATCGTCAAAATTTAGGATTTAAAGTTAGTAAATATTATACTTTAAGTACCGCGAATGAACTCCGTCGATATTAGAGTGGAACATCCATCTTTGATCCTTGTGGACGGTTAACGACATCTAAAATGGACGGCGCATGTAACTCGATGAGAAAATAAATGACATAAACAGGATGTTGAAGTTCCACAGGACTTCGAATAAAATGTTAGAAATCAACCCCCCAACACGCGCAATGACAGTGAACTTGATAAATCTGTTTACCAGTTTAAATTGATTTAATAGAAATATTGTATAAATTTCAACCGAATGTAGCACTGATTTCTCCTTCATTAAATATAGAATGTATTGGTGCCTACAAATAACAGAAAACTTTAGTCTTTCTTTTAGACTAGTTAACCTTTATAGATGATATGTACACGACTATAAAAGTCTCATGAAACTGTTCAACAAACTGAGAAAAAAGAATGCTGAATTCAATATGGACCGAAGAAGAACCACAGACTTTTGATAAGTTAAAGTTAAATCATGCAAAGAAACCAGTGGTGAACATTTTTGACCCCAGAAAGAAAATTACTTTGACAACAAATGCCAGTGAACATTCAATAGCTGTAATTGCTTCACTGCTCCATTGTTTGATTCTGATTGTGTTTTTGAGGCTGCGATCAAATCTTCATAGAAAAATCATATCAAGACGGGGTCTCGACCAAGCTGATCTTGGTGATCCAGTTTCCCTAAAAACATATTTTTGAAATCGCTAAGCACCAAAATTCAAAAGATTACTCTAGCAACCACGTTGGCTGGATTTAAACTCATAGAGCATGATATCGTGAACAGCGTGATTATTCAACTTTGCCTAAACACCTAATAATAAATAATAACAAATATAAAAGTAATAAGAAAATTCAAACAACATCCGTGAGTTATATATGTTAATATTAGTCGAGAAAGTATCGAAACGCATTTTTAAACGATAAAAAGAGATTATAACAGTTTTGTCAGATTCCTGTCTAATAGCCATGTAATTTGCTCTCTCTGCAATTACTAATCTCTTTTTATGTCATATATTTTTCTGTATTATCTGACGTATTTCGTCAAAAGCCAAATCTTTCAGTTTCACTGGATGAGCCATTGTTTAAACTTTCATTATCGCGTCATGTCCAGTTTTGCCCCCACCAAATATCCCTAACATTGTTTTCTTATTCTCCGTTTTTTCTCTTAGTTTCTTGGTTCTAACTCTTACCGCAAAGTTGCTAACCCTATGTCCCCAGAAAGTCAGTAATCTTCAAGGGATGACGTATTTTCTATCGTCGATGCCATTGTTATGAAATGCGTTTTCCTTCGTATTTTATCAGTTGTTTATCTCGCATATCTGTGTATTATTCAGTTCGCCCGCATCGCTACCGTTGACACAAAGTCAGTTTAAATGCATTTAACGGCAATACCGCTGAAAAATTCTCAAGGCCTCTCCACACTTCCCCATTATGAGGACGCCTCAGGTACTGGGCAATAAACACAATCCGCTCCCGAAAGAGAGGGATAGTGCATAGGGACACGACTCCCTGGGACTTGAGCGTATATTATCGGTAGAGGGGCGATTCTGCTGGCCAGCACTCGATACTCACATACCGAGAGCTACTCTCATTATAGTCTATGTCATATTTATGCTAATTATGCATTCATTTACATATCACTACAAAATATGTATACGTTACACCTATAAAGTCTAATCATGTTTTATAAATGCCACTAATAGCTAGCTCAACATGCTGCTGACGGGATAGATGCATACAGTATCTCCAGCACACGAAAGAACATGTCTTTTCTGGCTATAGTAGAAATAGCGCCATCTTTTACACCATTCATGGCAATATGTTTTTTTTAAATCAAGTAAAATGAAGTAACTGATGTCGTGGAGTCAATGATGCTAAAATTATTGGTCTACAACTACGAAATCCCATAGAATAAAGTGTACACACTGCAGGATTGAACATATCTTTAGAAATTCATATATTTTAGGGCTACCAGGAATTTGAATCCCATAGTCTTTTGCTCGTTTTGATATAATTCCCTCAGCCCTAATAGCAACAGGTAATAACATTCTACTGATTCCCATCACGAGATCCTTGTGTTCATTTACGTAGCTTCTCAGACGTTTTTAAAAATGTTTTGTTGTCTGAGATTCCAACATCTATCAGAAGACAAATGTCTTCAAAATGATCTGTCTAAACAACATATATCCACCAATTCTCTTTGCTGGGGATGCTGAACGCGTGAAAGTGACCACTGTATGCAGTCCTGTAATGCAGTTGCAAGTACTCTGTTGGGCCTAGTCGGTCACACCCAGATATGTGGTCAATTGTCTCCAGATTTTCTTCCCATACGCTGAAAGATGTGCTGCTGTTAAATTTCATGGCATTAAATTAGTAGTTGCCGGTTAGAAGATACTAATCCTGTGCAGCAATTAAGAATTCTTCAATTTCTGGTGTGAGGCTAGAGACTGCACGCCACTGATGGGTAACATTTTGATCAAGATCAGGATCGCTGTTTCTGATAGGGTATTTGCCATGCAAAGGTTTTTCCTGCCATTTTTAATCACATTTTGGAAAGAGACCCAGATATTTTGAACAGCTCCTTAGTATATAACAATAATTTGTAATTTGAAGAAGTTTAGCAACATGCATAATTATGAACATTACTCTTAGTTATTGCCTAATGAAATTTGCAAATTTATAATTGTTTGATGTTTCTCTATGTTTTTTGTCAAGATATTTTTCTATGATTATTGAAAATTTCTTTTTTCTCTCTATTTCAGAAACTACAGATCTAATTTCACGTCGCAAAATGTTGGCAGAATATCCTTATGGAATGATAAGAGCGACGGCAGTTCTGCACGCTCTCTTCGGTGGTGCTATCATTGGTGTCAATATACATGCAATTCGCAAGGCCACAGATATCTTCGACATTCCACTACTTGGAACGCCAGATTTGATCAGTCAAGGCATTACCTATCTTTTCATACCGATGTTTGTAGCTGGCATCTATGTAAGTTTTTACAAAAAATACATCTTCGTTTTTCTTGATTTCTATGATGTTCAGCACTTGCCATTTAATTTCTCTTGATGATAAATGACAACAGCAACAAAGCAATGACGCAGAAGTGTAGCAAATTTTCTATGAGCTACCTTTGCAAGTTAGGCAGCTTGAAGCCTGTGTTTTCTCTGCGAAAATGATATGATTAATAATTTTAAATATTGCCTTATTTATTGACAAGTTGTCACCGGTTTACAAAATTAAAGAAGTTTACACTGTGACGTCGTCCCCCCTGGTCGCAGCGTCGACTGTGTCGTTCGGACGCTTTCCCTTTTGTGGCATCGTATGCCAAATACAGGGTTTCGTGGTCTGAAAGTTCGTAAATAACTCGGCTCTTCTCCAGGATTGCCAGCCAGTTTTTAAATTCTTTCCCGCTGCCGTCAAATGCTGGGACCCTCGGTCCACCTAACAGCCTTCTTAAATCAGCTGACAACCCTTGTCTTACTCCCTCTTCATCCCCCACTGCTCTATCTGAATCATAGTCCGACATATTTAAAGAGAAAGACAATCTACGCAGCAACAATCGAGGTTGGGAAATAAAATAAAGTGTCCTACCTTACAGACGATTCTGTCCTCGTTCCTTTCGGTCCCGGGTCGTTTTGAGTCCTATTTGAAATTTCTCAGCAACAGCGGTCGATCGATGTGACGTGACGTGGCTGTCTCAGGGTTGATCCTTTGGTCACGGCACCAGTTGTGACGTCGTCCCCCCTGGTCGCAGCGTCGACTGTGTCGTTCGATCCCGTTCGCGACGCCAGCTGTTCGCTCCTCGCTGCTCCAAGTGTGACGTCCTAACCCTTTGGTTAGATGAATACCAGCCTCGTTGTTCCCAACACGCTTCCAACGCCTGGTTACCAGGGTAACTGCACTGATCTCCGTTCTGCCTACCCACGTTGTGATTAGATCTTAGACAGACGGGATCAAACAGGGAGTGATAACACACAAGAAAAATAAAAACACACAAGAAAAATAAAAACTCACAAGGTCAAAAATATTGAAGAAAAAGGTAACAACTTTTTATATCTATTTGCTCGTTACACAAGATTATTCCTACCTCCCGACCCGTTCTGTGGACCGTGGCACCACGCTTCTACCATACAACTTTAAGGCTTCGAGTTGCTTGCTCTCTAGAAATTTGCCTTTCGGGGTGTGGTTTGGTTTCAACACTGGGCGCTGATCTCTACCTGTCGTTCACGGCTGATTTCTCTCGCCGTCCGTGGCTGCAACTAACTCTCTCTTCAGAGTCTGAATTATTGTTCACTCATCGCTGCCGTCAGTGCGCGAATTAACTTCTTCTCTTCGGCTTCGGTTGGACGAGCTTAGTCACTTCGGCTTGGGTTGGGCGAATTTCTTCACTTCGACTTGGGTTGGACGAATTTCTCTTCTTAGGCCAAACGGACCGGCCTTTCTTGCCGCAAAGGGGACTAATGAACAGGGCCCGCCGTCCGCGCTGCAACTAATTTCTGTCGGTTGGGGTCCCGCTTTTATTGAGGCAGTCAAAAACTGGGGTGGGTCTGTCGGCGCCAGGGTTTTCTTGGTAATTCTAAAGACGTATTATTTCTGATTAGGGATTTTCCACCCTCGGCAACTCACTTTCACTCCTACTTCCTTACTGTGCCTCTGGGTGGGGGCGTATACCCGCTTCCCCTGGTCCTTCGTATGTCAGGTGACCGCTCTCGACCAATGGGGTCCTGGTCGGGCATCTTTCCTCCTCCCTCGCACATCATGTGACCGCTCTCTCGGCCAATGGGGTCCTGGTCGGTGTCTCTCCTCCTCCCTCATGTATCATGTGACCGCCTTCGGCCAATGAGACTCTGGTCGGTATCTTTCCTCCTTCCTTCGTGACGTCTTTAATCGGGCGTGGACAATCCGTGGCTTTGTTCTGGGGGGGGGGGGAAACACCTTGCTTAAAAAAAACAAAAACTTACTGTCCTTTTCGTATGTGACCGAAATGACGCTCTCGGCTTCCTTCACACGCGTTATCTGTCAAACAGCCTATCGCTAATTGGATATGATCTAAGAAAGGGATTTCTTAGACCTGTCGGCGTTTCTCTGAACGCAACAAAATATTTCATTCTCCTCCGGCCGATAATAAAAATCTGTATTATCTCAAAAAATAGCATTTTCTAATCATCATCTTGTGTGGCTGTATTTTCAATTCTGGTATTGTCTGGGTTCTCGTATTAATGGATTGTCTGTATATCCTTAGATAAACTTCCCACCTGTTACCTATCATATTTTTTCCATTGTCTCTAAACTTTATTTCTTCAACCAAATTGATAACAAACTTCCATCCTCCGCGGACACGGAAGTAGGTCAGGTGCTTGACCTGATATTTTTGACATCTGATATGTGCCAGTCGAGCGTGTGTGTTTTCGCTTACGACCTGGTTTCGTATTATTTATTTTTCTCCTTTCTTTCCTCTTCCTCTTCCTTTCTTTCTTTCTTTCTCCCAGATCGCCTGAACGCAATTAAAGAATTATTCTCAACCCCGAAATATTTTTCAGCTCTAAATAATTATCAAATGGTTAACAAACCGAAAAAACAAATCATATATTTATGAATATCTCTTTTCAGTTTTCTAATTATGCATGGTGCCACACACATTCTCTGTGTTGTATTATGTTTTAATCGAGGTGAAAAAGGTTTACTATCAAAGCAGAATAGAGAGTAACATTGTATCATATGTCAATTATTTTCATATTCTTGGGACATGATTAAGAGGAATATAGCTTGGTATATCTATAAGAAGAGTATATATTGTGATATTGTAAGAGGAATATATCGTGGAACATTTGTGAGGGGAATATATATTGGGTCAGTTGTAAAAGGAATATATGTAGGGAAATTTGCAAGAGGAATATGTCTTAGGAAAATTGTAAGGGAAATTTACCTTGGGACATTTGTAAGAGGAATATATCGTAGAACATTTGTAAGGCTTATATATCGTGGAACATTTTTAAGAGGACTATATTGTGGAACATTTGTGAGGGGAATATATATTGTGATATCTGTAAGAGGAATATATCTAAGCGAAATCTATCGTGGGACATTTGTAAGCGCAAACTATGGTAGGACGTATTTAAGAGGAATATATCGTGGGAAATATGAGGGAGGAATATTTCGTGGCACATATCTGAGGGGATATATCGTGTAGCATTTGTAATCGAAATCAATAGTGGGACATTTATACGAGGAATCAGTCGGGGGACATTTTAACCTGAATTTGTCGGGGGATATTTGTAACCTGAATTTGTCGTGGGACATTTGTAAGCGAAATCTATCGTGAGCCATTTTCAAGAGGAATCTATCTTGATCCATTGTCAAGAGGAATCTATCGCGAGACACTTGTAAGAGTAATATATCTTGGGAAATATGTTTTAAGAATATATCGTGGGGCATTTTAAAGAGGAATAAACCGAGTGACATTTATAAACGGAATCAATCGTTGGACATCTGTAAACGTGAGTGATTTTATGCAGAAACTATCTTGTTTGAGGTCCTCTAATTACGATGTCTTGGTCGTTCTGTTTTCGTTTATTTTCTTCCTCTCTTCACAACCGGGTCTGGGTGTTGTTCATATTAATTTCTTTCATTTTCCTTTCCGTAAAAGTTGCAGATTTTCCAGTGCTGATATTGGCCCACTCTGTCATGCCGTGCTTTATATTTACTGGGTGCCAATACCGCACAACCTGATACAAGATGGTCAATTGTTTCGCGATATTTATCACAGAATCTGAATTTTGGACTAACACAATTTTTCAGTATGTGCTTGATAATTTATAATTAGCAAGCATTGGTTATTTGCAGCAAGGATAAAACTTTCGGTTTCAGCTTTTAATCCTGCACTACGTAGTCACTGATGGGTATGGGGTTTGCCTACATCAGCTTGTTTGGTACGGGCAGAGTTTGTTTGTTACAGACAGATTATTTATTTATTTATTTATTATTTATTATTATTATTATTATTATTATTATTTGTGTTATTGGACATGTTATTAGATGTTATTTACTAATTTTTTGCATTATTTTGTTAACAACCCAAATTCTGGAGCCTTAAGTAAACATTACTTTTCTGACTGTTGGCGCTGTACCACGCAAGGAGGCCCTCTGCAACACATATAAACTCACTGGTAAATTTAATGCTTTCAACCAATGGACAAAAACTCTAACCCTTTTTCTAATGTTCTGATTACAATCAACACAATTGCTACCTCTCCGTAATTCGATATTATAGTGATTTCGCATTTTAAGTTTTTATTTATTTTTGTTTTCTTTTTCTGCACTTCTTTCTTGATTGCTTTAATGTCAAACAGACTAATAACGTCAATGAGTTAAAAAAAAACTCTCTCTTCCTTGCTGAGAACAACTCTATCTTAGCGTTAATGTTCACTGACTTCATTTTCTTCATCATCAGTTATCCTCTTTTACTTATGGTTAGACCATCTTTCTGAACGCTCAGATCCAATTTTTTGTTGCGGTTAATTTGTCATGTCTCCAATTATTGTCAACCTTCTGTGCAAGCATACAACATTTTTTATATTACATGTGCAATAGTTTTATCTGCTTAATCGCTTAATCTTAATGCTGCTAAAATGTCTTATTTTCTGATAGTCCTCATTCTAATCGTCAGTTGTAATTAACAATCATACTGTTTTGTTTATTTTATCACACTTTCTCAACAATTCGAAAAAATCTATTACCTCGTTGTTTTGTGTTTTGAAAAAAAAATCTCATGCAAACTGCTTTGGCCGTAATTTTCTTTTCTAGATTGGAGTGTATCTTTTTTTCCATTCTACCACCAAGTATCACTTCTTTCGCTCTTGCAGTTAGTAGACATTCAGTAGACGTGCATAAACATTCCAATTATTATTATTGTTGTTGTCGGCGACCTTGTAGGATACAAAAGGCGATTATATATTTTGGTCGAGATTAAGTCACATGGGTCACGTGATGGCTGCTTAGTTTCATCACTACGTAGTGACGAAAGTCCTCAATTATTCAGTCAGTTTTCAGGAGTCAAATCAAGCAGTTGCCTCACTCGGAGTATCCAGCTTCCACGTGTGCAGCTTACAAGACTATGGCGCCGTTTTCCTATGAAAATATATCTTCATCAGATATTGAAAATGTCTTCTACTTGCAGTCCTCATGTTGAAAAAAAAAAGCTCAAGTCTCGGCATTTCTTGTTTGCGGAATATGTCTTCGCTAGGCACATGGCAGATACATCCGGCCAGATCGAATCTGGAATCATAAATATGGCTTCCCCAGAAACACAGAAGTATCTCTAATTATATGTAAGAATCTATCTTTCCGTTCTCCTTTCACTCAAAGTGTGTAGATATGTGTTATATTTTCTTTGTGTGAGATACATGTAAATATGTATATATATGTGTGTATGACTCAGTGTTATAAATTTCTCTCTGAGAACAGACCTGTTGGTCACACATTTTTCTTTCAGTTATTCCGTTCGTGAAATAACGTGTTATTATAACATGGATATAATAATGCCCATAATGAGGAACTACAAACTGGAAGAATATTAACTTTCTTTCATAACACATCCATTAACAGGTAATCACATGACATCATATTAACCTCCATTAATTTTATCAAGCTATATTCATTCTATCTGTAGATTTGTATTGTGGGCATGACCGGGGAAGCTGCAAGTTCTCGGAGTAAAAACCCTAGCACTGTGAATAATTTTGTAAGTAATTTTATTTATTGCAAGGCTTGAAAATTTAAAATTTCAAGAAAACATTTTATGAATGAAAAATATGATTGTCCCTTATTTTAACATTCAGTTTTTGACAATAATTAATAAATTACCATTATAAGTATTTCTTTATAAAATTTTTTTAAACCTCATAAATATTTATTCGAAACTTTATATATGGTAGAACTGACTGTAGATAAGTTTTAATATCTGTGTACTGGATGACGTTTCTCGTACAAAATTCATAATGCCAGGTTCAATATTAGGCATATTATTTCTCAAGTAATATTCAATATTCAGTTGAGTTCTTGATCAACTTCAGGTATTAACAGTAACCAATCCATACCAGTAAATAACAGAAACATTAAATATACACCAATTAGTAACAATAATTTTCCCAGCTTTCATCTGGTTAAACTAGGCATTTGACTATAGAATTACTTTGAGTACAATGGCCTTTCAGTATAAAATTCTTAGCACATACTAATACATATCATCATGAGCTGTGAATATGCATTATACGAATTTAATTCATAAAGTTTTCTTTCTAAATCATTAACAACTCCGAACATTTCCGGAGTTTATTCAGCATTAATATTGCCAACATTGTTACTGTTGAAACTAAGTGGCTATCATGAATTGTCTAAATAGAAATTCTATAAACTAATTTCATTATCTCCAGCGTTTTTCTCTTATTTAGTCGACGTCCACTCCTTGCAAGGGTTTGCACGAGTACTTTGTTTTTATCAAAGCATTTTGACTATTATTTGTTTGTCAGTTCTGCTCGAATTTATTTTACATGGTTTTTAATGTTTATGAATTAAAACATCGTTCCTTTATTTGGAAAACTCATAAGTACTGGGTGTTAATAAAAGACTAGTCTTGAGGAAGGCCTGAGAATGCTTCCTTAAAAATATTGATGTAAATTTAACAGAAATTAGACAAGTAATGGTGTAAGATATTACCTTGTCTGTAAGAATTTATTACTAATATTTCTTCAATTTAGTTTCTATCACATCTACTCAAATTGGAAATCTGTAGCCATTGGTAAATGAATCGAAATGAAGATTACACAGCATTAGTAATAATAGCTTGAATTATTATTATTATTATTATTATTATTAGCAGAGTCATTAATTTTTAAGTATATCTTTCATTTGAATATTAATAGCTTTTGCTCGCAACTAATGAGGCGTTCAGCTTATTGATGGGCAACAAGTGATGATCTAAATGGTGAAAAGCACCTAAATACTCAGATGAAAAATAGACAATTAAAAAATGAGTAATAGTTCATTTAATAAAAATAAGAGTATACTGATACTTTTTTTTAAAACATTACTGATTTGGTTGTGTGCAGAATCGAATAAGGTGGGGAAAATTGTCTCCATATTCTTATAATTCCTTTCTTTTTACGCAGAAAATATTCTACTTGGTTCTCAACATTCTCTCAGCATTCTTTTACTCATTATTTTGTGGAGTGTCGACTTTTGGAGTGTATGTAAGTATCAATGCAGTTTATTTAATTCTCAGGTTTTCACAAGTGATCCCCGCTCGTGTGAAGTTCTTTTCTAGAAAGTATCAAGGTACAATTTAATAGCTCAGCGACACTTTGTATGCGGTAAGTTTGAGTGATTTGCATATTTCGTTTTGGTACCAGTCGCTGATGTTTCGGTTCATCTCAATCGACGATTTCCAACGTTAGTTACAAAGGAAGGAAAACTGACGCAATCGCAAATATTCACCAAACACAATCTTTCCACTTTTATTTCGTCTTTACCCTGGCTAAACTTAGTAAATGAACATTGTATGGCGACATTTTGTGGATCGCGTTATTCATTATCAGAGAGCTGATCATTTTTTCAGCATCATACTTTTGTTTCGAAATGACATAACTTTTACTGTAATAATTTATTGGGTTGAAAAAAACGTTAGTAGCGTTTTTCAATAAGTGGAGGTTGAACATGTGATTTCCCATCTGGCTGAAATTTATTATATATATATATATATATATATATATATATATATACGTGGCCTGGCGATTGCATATAGCATGAAACAGACTGTCGCCTCTAAGTGTTGACTTCTATGTTCATATTATATATATATATATATATATATATATATATATATATATATAAATTAATTGATTTAAAATATGGTTATTTTCGCTATAATGCTCTGTAAATTTACATTGAGCACTATTTTGTAAAAATAAAATATCTATAAGAACACCGGATTTTATATCTTACTGTTCTTTCTTTTTATTTATATACATATATATATATATATATATATATATTGTTTCGGACATTACTTTTTATAGATACATTAATTTGTATCCATAACATTTAATACTGTTATATTTCATAGCACATCTCAGTTTATTTTTCTTGAGATTTTTAGTAATTTGCAGGTCCAGTTAATGTTTACACTACTTTTCCATATAACTGGACGACTTCTCACCGAAACCAAGGCGGGAAAGAGGATGCGATGTACATTCCTATTTATTTTTGTCTGCGAACTGGACGCTAGTTGGACTTTCCTATCCTTTCTTACTTCCGGCTCTTTTGTCCTTTATTACTCCGGGCTATCACAAATCCTTGTTTCCGGCGTTCCTGGCCTTTACTACTTCCAGTTACCACAGACCCTTACTTCCTGCTTTCTAGACCTTGCTACTTCCGGCTACCACGGATACTTATCTCGACCTAACTAACCTGGTTGATCGGCGTTAATAGACCTGCTTACAACATGGTCCCGTCTTTCCTGTCAACCTAAATTACCTGGTTTAGGAAACTGTTGCATGCATATCGTCCAGACTTCAAATAAATTATTCCGTACACTTCGCTTAAAATACTACGGAAGATTCACCATTAGACTTGACCAGCAACTACGCAACGCCAGCATCGGATATTGGATCTGACAATAAATACGCAACGCCAGGATTGGACTTGATCAGCAACTAGGCAACGCCAGTACCCGCCATGGAACATTTAAACTGAACTTTCTTCTCCATTGCCGATATCGTTCAAACTTCAAATAACCTATTCCGTACACTTCTGCTGAAATACTACGGAAGATTCATCATTGGACTAGACCGGCAAATACTGAACACCTTCGACGGACATGTGAACTGAATTTTCAAACTGTGGACTTGCAATGCCTTATGACTTACATAATAATTTTACCTGCAAGAACTCTGGTCTGTATTTTAAATAATTTTTGTATTAAATTTTAAGTTTGTTTTTCCATTGTCCATTTTTGTTTCACCTGTCAGATTTCACATCTTTAATTTATAAACGTTATCAGGCCTCCTGTGACTATATTTCTTTGGGCGCACAGGCCATTTTATATCGCGTCCCCTCCAGAGACTTAGAAATAAATCGCTAAAACTCCCCGAGCGAATTCTTAAATAATAAGGAGAAGTATGGTATAAGAAACGGAGAATTAAAATGACATGAAATATATAAAATGAAGTTGATGAAGGAATCAGAGAGAGAGAGAGAGAGAGAGAGAGAGAGAGAGAGAGAGAGAGAGATATGAAAACGAACAAATTGGGTTGAAATTTCTCTGATGTGGTATTCTTTCCCTGATAAGGGAAATATTTGCTTAGATTTCTCGAGATGAAATTTGATCAGCAAGCGATAACTTATTAATACTGCGATGCTAAACAATAAGGTAATTCTCATTAAAATTTGAAGATATGTTTATTTTTTTTCTGTGGTCATGTACTCTTGGGACAAAGGACGCATTGAGACAATCCAGAAGGTAGAATGTTTTACATATACAAATGTCAAGGTGGGAAGTGGGGTGCCCAGAGGAGATTGCTTATATAAACCGGTGAAGTATTTAGCTTCAGGAGTTACTGGAAAGATATCAGGGCGAGGTGCTAAGAAGATCTCCGTCGTTCAAAGACAAGAGCACACACGCATTCAATGAACAAAACAGACACAAAGCAAACGAAATTGCTTGGTGCGAGGCGCGAGAAAAGACTGCTACTATAAGGAAAAATGAACAAGGTCTTGCTTACTAGTTAGCAGTTCCAGGGATTAACCCTAACCCTGGATCCAATCCAAAAATCAGTCATCAGGAGGAATCATTACAGTCAGTTTCGGTCCCTTTTCCTCTACAGCATTCTGCTATGGCGGGCCCCTCCATTGTAGAGGTTTCTTCTGGATCGGTGCTAACTGGTCTTTCCCGCCATCAATTGATCTCCAAGCGTCATCATCTCGCTTTAATGAAGAGCGATGCTTTTTACGCTGTCCCTTGAAGATCTGCTACCACGCTTTTTATCTCCTTGTTGTAGCCAAATCGTCTTTTGAGCACATTCGCCACATATTTTCACATAAGTTTAGATTTGAAGAGAAGTTAAAAGCAAAAACAAAGCAAAGGCATGAAAATACTCAAGCCCCAATTTCGCTACCTGGATGTGTACACAACGCATGTTTGTAATATTCGCTGTAAATAAATTATTGTTATTGGTCGTTTTTCTTGACGAGATCTGCTTCGCTTCGACGTTGAGGGATAGCTTTTAGGATCACGCAAGAAAGAAGTTACTACGCTCCCAGGAGAATGTTAATACTCTTTCCGTTGGGGACAAAACAAATCGCTAGGCGATCGCCGTTGAAAAACTGATTCATTTCAGAGGGTGTGAGATTTGACCGGAACAGCCGACGAAGATACGTACGGTGTATATGTAGTTGATATACGTATGTTCGAATATCTAAATAGTCTCTTTGAAATGCATTTAAAAAAAATGACGAATTTTGTTCAGAAACAATATTTTGTGACACTATTTGGCGCTAGTAAATGGAAATAAAATGTTAATGAATATAACAAAAATGTTTAATTCTCTAAAATTATAAGAATTACTTAAAGAAAGGATATATTACCACAAGAAGCCATGTGATAACTGATTAATAACCTACCTCCAAAGTACCGGTTACGAAAACACAAATAAGCAAGACAGATAAGATTTGATCTGTAATCAAAACTTGAGAATAGAATTTCCTTGTGGTTGGAGTGCAATGACCCTAACAGAGTTTGGGGAATGGCTGACGGGAGAACGATCTGTTAATATCTGATTTTAAACAAAACCAGGATGTGAAAATTTGCGTAAGCAAAATTTGAAATGATAATCTTTTAATTAATGACCATAAGTTAAGCCACACCAAACGTTCGGAAGCTAGATTGGCCGAGAGGTAGCCAAGGTGGCAGGCGCAAGTGAAATACCGAGGAAGGAATTGCCCACGCCTATTGGGAAGTATTGATGTAAGGTGCCAATAAGAGAAGGGCGGATCGTTACCTGTGACCGCTATCAATAGGAAAAGTGAATCTCCACAATTTGGAAATGTAATAATTTTTCCAGAGCCAGACAAGAAACAGGCTCTTGTTAGAAGATAGGGGAAACACCGAATCTCCTAACCGCGTCATGACCCACGCCGGTTTTAGAGGAATAAATGCAAAGAATCAAGCGGCCGAGAGCAGTTGTTCCAACGCCGAGACAAGAGACGACCGCGTTGTCCGATATCAAGTGACTGCCTGCTTGAAGAGAATCTTTGACATAAGCCTTGTGCCACACTTACCCAAACCAGCCAAATTGTCACGTTCAACTTAAGAAGCTGGTTGGGTCGAAAATTTTCTGCATGATGAACTGATAAATTCTAACGTCAAGACTAGTGAAACACTGTACAAAAGAATAATGCGCGTATATAATCGCATTTATTTTTATTTAATTTATTTTTTTCACTTGCGTCTTCATTCTGCCTAGACAAGCCCAATACGACGATTCCCGAAGAGGATTCGATCTTTGCTAGCCTTATGATCAAAACTAAACACAGCATTGGATAAGGCAGAGTTTAAATCGAAGCGATCATCTAATCGATCAGCAGCGGGAGTTTGACCTTCGGACGGATGGCCAAGGAGAAGGCGACAATTTAAGGAGGCGGGTATTTTCAATAATTTTAGAATGAATGGCATGAACGATAATAAATGTAGACTATGGGCGTCTACGTGAAATGTGTCCATTTGTTAGAAATCTTTTTCAGTAGTTTGTGAAGGTGTGACATAAAAGTAGACAGTTTGTTGTGTTTCCTTTTAATTAAATCAATATGTGAATCAACTTAAATGTCGTCGATCAAATTCTGTATTGATAATCCCCAATTGATAATCCCCAATTTTATAAAGCCCTTTTCTCTTTTGAACCGTTTCATAAGAATCTGAACTCATTTCGTTAATTCCTTTCTCTCTAAATATCGTTTCTTCAGATTCTAATTAAAATGTACTGACATTATTTTTCTTGCTTTATTAATTTATTAGATGGTGTTTGCCCACAGTGTGGATGTGTTTGGAATTGCTACACACCTCAAAGCAACTTTAGGCTTGTTGGCTGCTGAATTGCTTTTGTCTCTCTTCTGCACCCTACTATGTTGTTTAAGCAGACACCCTGCTGAGGTAAGTCTATTCCTATTTACACCTATATTTTCAAGAGTTTTCTTTTTTAAATATATCGATGCATCTATTACAGATTACTTTTTTCTCATTGCTTACATAACAAGTAAACACCAAAACTGTAAGTTCAATAAATACTTGCTAATTAAAAAAAATATTTTAAATTTTGTATATTTTTCAAGTAGCAGTCACTTATATGTAAATATATTTTAATTGCGTGATTTATCATTTTCCGGTATTGACTAACGATAATAGGATTAATATTAATATTAGATTGTAAACCATTTTAAGTGAAAATCAGCCCTTGAGAACTAGGAATGACAACAAATATTTTGGTTTGTATTCTGGTTAAATACTTGTATATTTGCCTTCAATGTCACTGGACCAATCCAAGTGAGGATCCAGTGGATTCTCCTTAATTTAGAATATTGGTGAATAAAATTGTCTTCACTTTCATTTCTCTTCCTTTTGGCTTAGTGTTAGACTTAGATAACAGTCATAAACTTCTAATACAACAAAAGGTTGTAATGATTAAACAGTAAACTCGCGTTTAATTCAAAATACTAAGCAAAACAATTACAATTTCTATCGACAGACTGAAAGGCGCTGTTCAGTATAATTTTGATATTGTCAAATGAAAAAGCACCAGAAATACTGAATGTTAATTCGAAGAATCTGAATAAAGCAGGTGTTAATTCTGGCACTATTTCATACTGACTTCTAAAATTAAACGCAAGAAGTGAATTCTGTGACTATTCTTAGGATAAAACTGTTTTTCTTTAGATTTTCCATGATTGCTTACGTTCTAACGTGGCATCTTATTCTTAAACCAAAGTTATATATATATATATATATATATATATATATATATATATATATATATATATATATATATGGTTGGATTGATGTGAGTTTGTGACCTGGGTTTCACGCTTTTGAAAAAGCGTGAAATCCAGGGTCACAATTTCACATCAATCTAACCAAATATGTTTTCTCTGTCTCTGATATTGAGCGCTTTCAAATAAGTACCGCACATATAATATATAAATAATAATATATATAATATATTACACACATATGTATATATTTGTATTTACATTTATATACACAAACTATATATTTAGGCAGCAATCCTTCGTTTATGCATGTTTCATTAAAAACGACAGACGAGGTACTACGGTTAAACTTTTTAATTGTCTTGTGTTCGAACAAGAGCTTTCTTTTCTGGACAAAGAGTGTGTAAAACTGTCCAAATGTTTTATAGTTCCGAGCGCCTTCTCCCATTTCTAAGAGTTTTTTTTTAAGTTGATAGGTAATGTTAAGGACGGAGTTTTTCTCAAATGTGGTCTTAAGTGTATCTATTTCTTTAATGTTATTTTCTATTTTAAATGTTCTCGTAGAATATAGCAACAACACTTTTATCACCTCATTCTACAAAAAACTCATTAGCAAAAAATCTTGCCACCTTTTCTTTAAAAGCGAATGTCCACTCAGGTACAAAATAGCAGTAATAAAAAACTTCCTAAAAGGAGCACACCAAAATTCATCCTCTCGACTACTCTTCCTCAAAGAACTTAATAATGTAAAACAAACACTAATCAACAATGGCTTCCCTAACCACCTTATAGACCACCAAATTAGATTATTTCTCCCCAAAGTATGTAATAACGATAGTCAACACACAGTTAAAAATTACATAAACATGCATTATAAAAACCAATTGCACATTAACTACAAACAAGACGAATCTTTACTAAGACATATAAAGAAATACACTACCCCAATTGACCCGAATAAAAAATCAAATTAATTATCTATTATAAAAAATTTAAAACAGCTAACCTTATCCTCAAAAATAACAACACACCAGTTAAGTCAAGAATACAAAGAACGAACTTTATCTATGAGTTTAAATGCCCCTTAAAGAACCGTGTTCCTGATCAAACCGGAGTCATAATTACATCGGTTATACAACTACATGCTTATCCAGATGCCTTAAGTTACATCTATCTCATCACAGCTCCATTAGAACCCATTTAAACACACACACAAACTTACCAGAATCCATACTAGTAGAAAACAAAAATATAATAACTTCATCCACTTGTAAAAACAGATTAAAATAATGGAAGCTTTAATAATAAAAAAGAAAAAGCCAACTCTTAACAATATTAACTACAAACAAGGCCACAATGAGCTAACCGTATTCGGAAATTAAAAACATCTCTACAACACACTAAAACATACACATAATGCACACACTCAATTAAGCTGAAAAATTGAATCATCCTTGATAATGGCTAATTGTATAGCCGAAAGCGCTCGGAACTATAAAACATTTGGATAGTTTTTACACACTCTTTGTCCAGAAAAGAAAGCTCTTGTTCGAACACAAGAAAAATTAAATAAAAAGTTTAACCGTAGTACCTTGTCTGTCATTTTTAATGAAATATAGTTTGAAGGTACAGTATATTTATGTGTTTGTGCTCAATATCAGGGATAAAACGCATGTAAATATAAAAGTGGACACTGAGGTCAACACCAAGAGGTGACAGTCTGTTTCATGCTTGAACGCTATCGTCAGGTTATTACATTTAGCATGAAATAGACTGACTATCGCCTCTTGGTGTTGACTTCAATGTCCACTTTTATCTCTCTCTCTCTCTCTCTCTCTCTCTCTCTCTCTATATATATATATATATATATATATATATATATATATATTAGTAATGGATTTTTCATTTATTAATCTGACATATTTATATTAAACGTTATCTTTTGTGGGTACCCATATTTGAGTAGATGCTATCTTAATTATTTTCATATACCAGCCTGATTTATTAGAGATATATGCGCTTTCTGGCAGGATTCAAACTATTGCTTGGCCATAGGTTCTTTGTAGCACGTCAAATCTAATGAGAGTTTACCCCTAGGGGAACGCGGGTCTGAAGCTTTCGGTTATTTATTTATTATTTCATTATTATTATTATTATTGGAGCCTGGTTCAAACTATGGACCTTAGGCCCTATAGGATAATTGTCATTTAATTGATAGCCCTTTTCTAGTATATGAGATGTTCCTAGTTGGGCGATTTTCGGGGCAACTTGTATGTTGATGTTACCTGAGACACTCTTGTCCATTCCTTTTCTCATGTGACCGAGTGCCTCGATTACTATTGGCACAGTCTCGGTTTTCATTCCCCACATCCTGTTAATCTCGATCTCCAGATCTTTGTATTTGGACAATTTATCGATAATTTTCATGGAGGTCCTTCTCTCAGATGGCACTGTTATGTCAATAAACATACACTTCCTGAATTTCTTGTCTTTTATGATGATAATAGGTCTGTTGGCTTTTATTTCCCTATCAGTTTGAATTGTCATGTGCCAGAGGATAGTTACATCGTTATTGCGTGTGGTTTCGATTTTGTGTTTCTGGCATATCTTCCAGTGCACACATGTCGCTATCGTGTTATGTCTGTGGGTATATTCATTATTTGTTTGTTCCGGACATCCTAAGATAATATGGTCGATAGATTCATCATATTTCCCGCGGATCCTGCATTTCGGGTTAGTTCCATCCTTGATTATGTGACAGGATCTGGTTGCGAGGCTTTGGTCCTGAGCTGCAATAATTAGGCCTTCTGTCTCAGTTTTCAATCCAGTGCTCCACTTTTGGTCCACATCTGCTTCTTTCGTTCTTTTTAGCTATTTTCCATGCAACGCTTTGTCTTCCCAATTTTTTTAAAATTTCATTTGGCCAAGTTGTTTTGCTTTCTGTTTTACTCGTTTGGCGTAGATGCTATTCGCTTCTTTTTTTTATCGGTAGGATTTCAGGTACATTAAGCTAATTCTTGAAGAGTGCAGCTTCATTATTGATGGAGTGTATTTGGTGTTTGGCTCTTTGCAGGAGAGGTTCATTGGATTTTATAAGGTATGCTTCCAATCCGATTGTTGTAGTTTTTAGAGTTAATGCATGTTTAAGCACTTGGTATGTACAGCCTATTAACATCTGATTTCGGGCGGGGCATCCTTATTTGGGTAAACATTTTTCTCAGCGCCAAATCTTTTAATGTCATTCAACTTCCATTTATTAATGCTGAGGCTGTATGTTAGTACGGTTATAGCTATGATCTTGATTTTATTGGCTTCATTAAGTTCGCTTTCTAGTATCAAACGCTTCTCCTTTTCTATTCTTTTCGGATCTTTTTCTTCATAATTGAATGTTGCATTCATTAATTCCAAAGTCTAAATATGTAGTTTTTATTATTATAATCAGCCTTTGAAAGTCCTTTGTTGGGTGTAGGCCTTCCCCAAATCTTTCCTTTTGCTGTTAATAAGAGGAATGGCTATAAACCTACTGCACAGGACCAATGCATATTGGCAGCGCTTTGGGCACCTCGAGTTGGTATAATGGTTAGCAAGCTTTTCTCGCTAGAACAATTACGACTGAGTAGTGAGCTCAATCCTTATTGGGTGCCCCATACTTTCGGCCTTGTGCCACATCTGAGCTACGCTTGGAAAATAACTATTGGCAGCGTTTTACAGCACCTGGAATTCTAAAGTTTCTTTTTTACTATTTTCTGAATAGCGGGGCTTTTGATTTGAAAATCTTACTTTTAAACATTACTTCCCAAACCTTTTAATCTCATATAAAATCATTTTGAGTCCATTTGACTTCGCGGATACTCTAATTATGGCCGGCTCACATTGTATCACAAGAGAAATAACTATATATTTTTATCACAAAATTTCTTACGCAACTAGAATATTTATTTCTACGGTTATTTATGGTTCAATAAAATAATTCCGAAAAAATAAATTTTTATACGATGTGCAAATAAAACAAAACAAAATGTCTGTACCAACTGTTTGAATATTGAAAACCGTAAATATTGTTAAAAGCATTTATTTTTATTTCAGAATCTACCTACACCAACTGTTGTTCCTAATCCAATACCAACTGTTGCTGCCATTCAAATGCCGCAACAAGTTTACAATCCACCAAATTCGATGCATCCTTACCCTATCAGTTAATATGCACGGTGTTAACTTGAATTTTTCTGAAATCACATGGAATCGTTTTATGCTTTCGAAGAAAGAAATACGCATAAAATGACATTAAAACATTTTTCAAAACACTCTGAAACAATTTGAATATTTTTGTTGAAAATAAGCTATTTTTGAATTTGCTTTACAAAAGAAAGAACTCTCTTCCTGAAACTAAAACTGTCCTTAGTGAAAATTGTAATATTAATCAGATAATTACGTCATATTTCTATGTGTTTTTGGTTTTCACAAATAAAATAAATAATAAAAAGAAATTTTGAATAAAGAAATTTAGAACATGGAATAAAAGAATAAAACATTTAAATGTATTTTTAGTCATCTGAATACTGCGTGAACATTTTAAAATTATACAAGGCTTAATGTGAATGTTTTAAGAAACCTAAAATATTATGAAGCCATAGATAAATGATAAAAAACTATTTCGTAAAATACGACTGTAAGAATCAATTTCTCTTGATTGCGCTGTTGAAATTTACCTCGTTTCTATCATTAAATAAATGACAATCTGTTGAGTCATTCAAGAATAATTTTTCGCCTGTTCTCTCACTCAAGGATAACTTCCCATCTGTTGAATGATTCAAGAATTATTAAAATCATTCGAATGTTATTTACACACTTTTGAAGTCAAGAAAACAGCACATACTTTTATTTATGGGCTTTGACCATTATCAATATTGCATTTCTAATAGGACAAAATGAATAGGATACCATTTTAATTGTATATGTAGCATTGATTTTACTCAAGAATGAACTTTAAATATGTAAATTTCAAACTTTACAATAATTTAGTTAACAGGGGATGTTATTTTTCTAGAAAGGTTCACTTCACGTTATTTTAGCAAGGATTCCCACAATAAATAAATGTAATAATTCCTGAAATAAGAAAGGAATTTTTTAAGTGACATTTTTAAAAATAAAATCCAAGATTTTCTTCCTTCTCACGATAGTTCGCAAACAAAATAATTCTGTGCATCTTGCTCAGTTTAAAAGCAACTGTTATACTCTGAATTACTCGAATTAGTGTCCTCATCTTCTTTGTTTGGATCACAACGTTTTGCCTGATTTAATCCCTCAATTTTTCTCATACAAAAATAGAAACAAGATTTCGCAGATAATTTCATCCTATCCGAATTTTTTTTTGAAAAACTGGACAGTTGCTTTATCTGCAACAGTTTTATTCACACACACACACACACACACACACACACACACACACACACACACACACACACACACACACACACACACACACACACACACACACACACACACACACACACACACACACACACACACACACACACACACACACACACACACACACACACACACACACACACACACACACACACACACACACACACACACACACACACAAAAAAAAAATGGATAGTGTCGGTGGTGGCATCGACTACCTGCGGGAAAAACTTGCGATGTGGGTAATGATGACATGGACCCCACCCCTTCAACTTGGTCTGCATCACTCCCATGGATATCTTCGAGACTGTGTTCAGTGCAGAGTCATTTGTCATCCCCACCTTTTCGTGTGGATACTTCAAATCAAATCATTTATAAATATGAATTTTCTGTCATCAAATTTCAATTGTCATTTTTCGGCTTTTTTTTACGATCAACATTCAACCGCATGTAAAAACTTTGATTCCGATAATATCACTGGTGTAGCAGAATGGGAAAACAGTGAAGAATAAATAACTATTGCTCCTTCTTTTATTTGTTCTAGCATTAAAATACTCAATTGAAATGGCAGACATAATTGTGTATAACTGAAACAAGGGAAATAACTCATCAAAATGTTAAAGAGTTAATTCCCTTTGATTTATTAATTTCTTTAGCCAAAGGAAGTATACATTATATGGACTACGAATTAGTGATAAGAAAATCAAGCAAGTAAAAAATTTTAAATATCTAGAAAGTGTTTCAATATAAGACAAAAAAACGTGACACCAAATCCGAAGGCGCATTGGAATAGTGAAAGTACCCTTCCCAAAGCTAAGCAAAGTATTAGGAAAATTTTGTTAGAAACAAAGAAAAGAGTACTGAAATATTATATATCACCCCTCATATAAGTCAGTGTATACTAGACATTCTACTCACAGATGAAGAGAAGACTTAAGGCAACAGAATTTTTGTTCTGAAATGGGATGCTGAGAAACTCATTGACTGAACATGTGAGTAACGAGGAAGTTTTATGGATACAAAAAGGGTACTTAAAACAAAAAAGGGACAATTGAAATTTCTAGGGTACATACTGAGGAAAGAAGGACCGGAGAATTTGACACTCAGCTGATATATTGAAGCGGAGGAGAGAGAGAGAGAGAGAGACAGACAGACAGACAGACAGACAGACAGACAGACCGACCGACCGAGGAAAGCAACGAATAAGACACCTAACGAGCTCGCGTTAATGGTTGACAAAACAGGAATTATAAACACTTTATATTTTTAAAGTCAGGCATTTTTTCAATTAAAATTCAAATTACACAAGCAAAAAAAAACAACAATAAAAAACTCGCAATATATTTTTCTTTAAACAAAAGTTGCGTGGATTCTATATTTGAAGGCATTTATCAGTTGAGTACTTACTATAAAAACTTTAAAACGTATTTTAAATAATTTAAATGTCTTCTTTGAGGCTAAATTTTGTTTAATTCGTAGGATAGTATTTAAAATTTAATCCATTAAAAATAAAAAAAAAATAATTTTACATCTTTAAGTAAAGATTTTATACATTTTTAAAACGAAAAACAGAAACCTACTTAGGCTTAGTTTGATTAGCTAATTTGATGGGGGCCGAAAAAAATCTCTTAAAAATTTATTTTTTATTTCTCAGACATTGCTTAATAGGAAAATTGTAAAGTCATGAATCGATTAACATTTTGCATAAATATTAGTTACTTTTTTCTCAAAATGTGACGACAAATCCATTTTTCCCAACAGCATATGCTTTCACTTATTAACATCGTCAAACAATAGTTCTCTTACAATCTTACTCTGTTTAAAAAGAAGCACCATAAATAAACAAATCCAATATGAAAACCAAATCTACCACAATCAAAAAATTTATTTTCTTTGAAAATGAAAAAAATCTTTACGAATATTTAAAATTTAAGAAACTTTGAATGAACAATTTTGAATTTTTTACATTTTCAAAAGGAATATAATCATTACCACCACGGACTTTCTAAAAAACGAATTATAAATAATTTAAATGCCTTCTTTGAACTTAAATTTCATTTCTATTAATCCGAATTAAAAGAAAAAATAATTTTCTTCTCTAAATAAACTTTTTATGCATTTTTAAAACATTGGCACGTTCACTCGTCACTCACCCACTCATAGAGTTGATATTGTATACGAAAAATGCAAACAACAAATTTAAAATTCTCTTTAAAATCCAATATTTGTACTAGAGATGAATGTTTCGAAGTCTGTTTTATAAACTTAAGATTTAATTAAATGGATTTTCTAAAAGTAATGCTTATCCTTTACGTAAAACAGAATGAAAATAACATTTTCTTTACACACGGTAGTCTGTGAGGTCAAAGGACAAATTAGAAATAATGTAATTCTCGAAAAAGTCAAAACACAACTTAAAGAAATATGGAAGACTAGCAGTACAATAATCAAGAATTTGTTATTTATGTTTAAAAAAAAAAACTTTCTTTAACCAATATTTTAAGAATATATATATTTTTAAATTCTATACCCTTTTATTAAACTTAATATAATGAATAAATTTGAAGCTGCAAAAAAAAAATAAAAATAAATAAATACAAAAATAAAATACCGTAAACAAAATTTGCGTTAGATTAAATGTGAAAAACATTTATTCTAAAAGTAAATTTTAGAAAAATTACAGTAGAATATATTCTTTTATGTGAATGAAATATTTTAGTCATAATTCTGAAAATTTTCTTGATGTCGAGGGGAAGAAATTATGCAGCAAAAATATAACAAAGATTATTAGTTCTTTTTTTTTTAATAAAATCTTAAAATGACAACTTACGTTTAATTACGTAAGTACGTATTCGTTATTCTTGTATACAAGAATCTGTAAATAAATGGAGGAAAACAAAACACACGAAAATCAAAAAAAAAAAAAAAAAAAAGACCCAAAAAACAAACATCCTTACCCATGAATCGGTAAACATTGCTTTTAAGACACAAATCCGAACTGAACAGGAGATATTAAATTAGAATATTTCATAATACTCTTTAGATATTGAATAGTAGTCAGTCAAAGTGAGATATCAGAATTTTGTCCTTTTTGTACACCCATATCAAACATAATCTAACAGTTGCTAAAAAGAAAAAAGAAAATAAAATTCATTTAAAAATGTTCACACTTGAAAATTCCGTTAAACTTCACATTTGTAAATCTTCAAACAATTCTTTACTTAATAAAAGAAACTATTGTGACAAACAGATTACAAGTATTTTTAAAAAAATATATTAAATATAGATATTTTTCTGTCTGATCTGCAAGAAAATAACGTGTCAAATTATGCAAGCATAAATTCTCAAAAAAAAAAAAAAATTATTATTATTTAAAAATTGATTTAATGTTTTTTGATTTACATTTGGTAAGATGGGGGATGAATTTTCGCACTTGATATTGCATATTAAATTTATTATTTACCGAAATAATATCTTCGGGGATTTTTCTTTATATAATATATATAATATATATTAATTTAATATATTAATTTACATAAATTGGACGAACATCCACCCAATTAAAATGTATATACCAGATATTTTGGTTAAAAATCATCTTTTTTTTTTCGCCAGTAAGGGAACCCCCCCAAAAAGTAAACCCTATATTAACATTTTTTTTTTACTTCAGAAGTATAATAAAGGTAGAATTTTACTTTTGAAATTCTCTTGTTTAGCTTTTAAAGTTAATCCAAGGTTAACATAATTAAGTTGCTGCAGTTTCAATACTG